TGATGGCCCAACATGTCGTGATGGCCCAACATGTGATGGCCCGACATGTTTTGATGGCCTAAAACATGTAATTACCTCTTCAGGGCCACCCATGTCTCCAGTTCTGGTTGTAATTTATGTCAAGTGGAGCTTAGGTCACGCCAACCTTTTTATACCTACTGAAAGAAAACCTTGACCCAGTAAAAAAAATTCATCCAGGTAGTTGTTGGTAACCAGTTAGTGGGGGTGAGGGGGGGGGGGGGGGTGCAGTCCTTGTTTACCATGTAGTTACCAGTTGGTGTGGGGGGTGCAGTCCTTGTTTACCATGCAGTTACCAGTTAGTGAGGGAGGGGTGCAGTCCTTGTTTACCATGTAGTTACCAGTTAGTGGGGGTGTGGGGTGCAGTCCTTGTTTACCATGTAGTTACCAGTTAGTGTGGGGGGTGCAGTCCTTGTTTACCATGTAGTTACCAGTTAGTGGGGGTGTGGGGGGTGCAGTCCTTGTTTACCATGTAGTTACCAGTTGGTGTGGGGTGTGGGGGTGCAGTCCTTGTTTACCATGTAGTTACCAGTTAGTGGGGGTGGGGGGTGCAGTCCTTGTTTACCATGTAGTTACCAGTTAGTGGGGGTGGGGGGTGCAGTCCTTGTTTACCATGTAGTTACCAGTTAGTGGGGGTGGGGGTGCAGTCCTTGTTTACCATGTAGTTACCAGTTAGTGGGGGTGTGGGGGGTGCAGTCCTTGTTTACCATGTAGTTACCAGTTAGTGGGGGTGGGGGGTGCAGTCCTTGTTTACCATGTAGTTACCAGTTAGTGGGGGTGGGGGGTGCAGTCCTTGTTTACCATGTAGTTACCAGTTGGTGTGGGGTGTGGGGTGTAGTCCTTGTTTACCATGTAGTTACCAGTTGGTGTGGGGTGTGGGGGTGCAGTCCTTGTTTACCATGTAGTTACCAGTTAGTGGGGGTGGGGGGTGCAGTCCTTGTTTACCATGTAGTTACCAGTTAGTGGGGGTGGGGGGTGCAGTCCTTGTTTACCATGTAGTTACCAGTTAGTGGGGGTGGGGGTGCAGTCCTTGTTTACCATGTAGTTACCAGTTGGTGTGGGGGGGTGCAGTCCTTGTTTACCATGCAGTTACCAGTTAGTGGGGGTGGGGGGTGCAGTCCTTGTTTACCATGCAGTTACCAGTTAGTGGGGGTGCAGTCCTTGTTTACCATGTAGTTACCAGTTGGTGAGGGTCGGGGGGGGGGGGCAGTCCTTGTTTACCATGTAGTTACCAGTTAGTGGGGGTGCAGTCCTTGTTTACCATGTAGTTACCAGTTAGAGGGGGTGTGGGGGGTGCAGTCCTTGTTTACCATGTAGTTACCAGTTAGTGGGGGTGCAGTCCTTGTTTACCATGTAGTTACCAGTTAGTGGGGGTGCAGTCCTTGTTTACCATGTAGTTACCAGTTAGTGGGGGTGGGGGGTGCAGTCCTTGTTTACCATGTATTTACCAGTTAGTGGGGGTGCAGTCCTTGTTTACCATGTATTTACCAGTTAGTTGGGGTGCAGTCCTTGTTTACCATGTAGTTACCAGTTAGTGGGGGTGCAGTCCTTGTTTACCATGTAGTTACCAGTTAGTGGGGGTGGGGGGTGCAGTCCTTGTTTACCATGTAGTTACCAGTATGTGGGGGAGGTGTGCAGTCCTTGTTTACCATGTAGTTACCAGTTGGTGTGGGGTGTGGGGGTGCAGTCCTTGTTTACCATGTAGTTACCAGTTAGTGGGGGTGGGGGTGCAGTCCTTGTTTACCATGTATTTACCAGTTAGTGGGGGTGCAGTCCTTGTTTACCATGTATTTACCAGTTAGCGGGGGTGTGGGGGTGCAGTCCTTGTTTACCATGTAGTTACCAGTTAGTGGGTGTGTGGGGTGCAGTCCTTGTTTACCATGTAGTTACCAGTTAGTGTGGGGGGTGCAGTCCTTGTTTACCATGTAGTTACCAGTTAGTGGGGGTGTGGGGGGTGCAGTCCTTGTTTACCATGTAGTTACCAGTTGGTGTGGGGAGTGGGGGTGCAGTCCTTGTTTACCATGTAGTTACCAGTTAGTGGGGGTGGGGGGTGCAGTCCTTGTTTACCATGTAGTTACCAGTTAGTGGGGGTGGGGGTGCAGTCCTTGTTTACCATGTAGTTACCAGTTAGTGGGGGTGCAGTCCTTGTTTACCATGTAGTTACCAGTTAGTGGGGGTGCAGTCCTTGTTTACCATGTAGTTACCAGTTAGTGGGGGTGGGGGGTGCAGTCCTTGTTTACCATGTATTTACCAGTTAGTGGGGGTGCAGTCCTTGTTTACCATGTATTTACCAGTTAGTTGGGGTGCAGTCCTTGTTTACCATGTAGTTACCAGTTAGTGGGGGTGCAGTCCTTGTTTACCATGTAGTTACCAGTTAGTGGGGGTGGGGGGTGCAGTCCTTGTTTACCATGTAGTTACCAGTATGTGGGGGAGGTGTGCAGTCCTTGTTTACCATGTAGTTACCAGTTGGTGTGGGGTGTGGGGGTGCAGTCCTTGTTTACCATGTAGTTACCAGTTAGTGGGGGTGGGGGTGCAGTCCTTGTTTACCATGTATTTACCAGTTAGTGGGGGTGCAGTCCTTGTTTACCATGTATTTACCAGTTAGCGGGGGTGTGGGGGTGCAGTCCTTGTTTACCATGTAGTTACCAGTTAGTGGGGGTGTGGGGTGCAGTCCTTGTTTACCATGTAGTTACCAGTTAGTGTGGGGGGTGCAGTCCTTGTTTACCATGTAGTTACCAGTTAGTGGGGGTGTGGGGGGTGCAGTCCTTGTTTACCATGTAGTTACCAGTTGGTGTGGGGTGTGGGGGTGCAGTCCTTGTTTACCATGTAGTTACCAGTTAGTGGGGGTGGGGGGTGCAGTCCTTGTTTACCATGTAGTTACCAGTTAGTGGGGGTGGGGGGTGCAGTCCTTGTTTACCATGTAGTTACCAGTTAGTGGGGGTGGGGGGTGCAGTCCTTGTTTACCATGTAGTTACCAGTTAGTGGGGGTGCAGTCCTTGTTTACCATGCAGTTACCAGTTAGTGGGGGTGTGGGGGGTGCAGTCTTTGTTTACCATGTAGTTACCAGTTAGTGGGGGTGCAGTCCTTGTTTACCATGTTGTTACCAGTTAGTGGGGGTGGGGGGTGCAGTCCTTGTTTACCATGTAGTTACCAGTTGGTGTGGGGTGTGGGGGTGCAGTCCTTGTTTACCATGTAGTTACCAGTTAGTGGGGGTGGGGGGTGCAGTCCTTGTTTACCATGTAGTTACCAGTTAGTGGGGGTGGGGGGTGCAGTCCTTGTTTACCATGTAGTTACCAGTTAGTGGGGGTGGGGGGTGCAGTCCTTGTTTACCATGTAGTTACCAGTTAGTGGGGGTGCAGTCCTTGTTTACCATGTAGTTACCAGTTGGTGGGGGTGCAGTCCTTGTTTACCATGTAGTTACCAGTTAGTGGGGGTGGGGGGGTGCAGTCCTTGTTTACCATGTAGTTACCAGTTAGTGGGGGTGCAGTCCTTGTTTACCATGCAGTTACCAGTTAGTGGGGGTGTGGGGGGTGCAGTCTTTGTTTACCATGTAGTTACCAGTTAGTGGGGGTGCAGTCCTTGTTTACCATGTTGTTACCAGTTAGTGGGGGTGGGGGGTGCAGTCCTTGTTTACCATGTAGTTACCAGTTGGTGTGGGGTGTGGGGGTGCAGTCCTTGTTTACCATGTAGTTACCAGTTAGTGGGGGTGGGGGGTGCAGTCCTTGTTTACCATGTAGTTACCAGTTAGTGGGGGTGGGGGGTGCAGTCCTTGTTTACCATGTAGTTACCAGTTAGTGGGGGTGCAGTCCTTGTTTACCATGCAGTTACCAGTTAGTGGGGGTGTGGGGGGTGCAGTCTTTGTTTACCATGTAGTTACCAGTTAGTGGGGGTGCAGTCCTTGTTTACCATGTAGTTACCAGTTAGTGGTGGGGGGTGCAGTTCCTGTTTACATTCCCCCCCCCCTCGACCTTTGACCCTGACCCAGCTGTTTATTTGGACCAGATGAGATAATGTCAGAATTTATTTATTGGCCCAATTTCTTTTATCTGACTTGTAAAACATCGTCTGGGGGCTGTGGGCAGGTGTAATGGTAGCAGGTGTAGCACTTGTGGTGTAATGGTAGCAGGTGTAGCACTTGTGGTGTAATGGTAGCAGGTGTAGCACTTGTGGTGTAATGGTAGCAGTTATGGTGTAATGGTAGCAGGTGTAGCACTTGTGGTGTAATAGTAGCAAGAGTAGCACTTGTGGTGAAATGGTAGCAGCTGTGTAATGGTAGCATTTATGGTGTAATGGAGGAGCTTGTGGTGTAATGGTAGCACTTGTGGTGTAATGGTATTAGCTGTGGTGTAATGGTAGCAGCTGTAGCATTTAGAGTGGTAGCTCAGGAATATATACAATAGAAATGATAGGCTGAAACCTTTTCTGGTCTGACATTGTAATCTGACATTGTGGTCTAACTTTGTGGTCCAACATTGTGGTCTGACATTGTGGTCTAACTGTGTGGTCCAAAATTGTGGTCCATTACTTAATCTTAGCTCCGTGTTTCTATGACAACAGTCTTGGCGTCAGCGCGTCTGTTTTGGTCCAACACCAAGTTCACATGGCCTCTACTTGTACACCTCTTGTCACCCACCCCCTCTGTCACACCACCTCCCCCTCTGTCACCCCACCTCTCCCTCTGTAACCCCCACCCCCCCACCCCCCCTCTGTAACCTCCTCCCCTCCTTGCCGTCCTCCACAACCCAATCATTTGTCAACCCCTTCCTGTCTGCAGTCGGTAATTAGGACAACCTTCATGGCTGGCTGAACACATTGAACACAGTGCCAGTGGTTTACCCCTATCACGTGACTGGGTCGGCCAGTGATGAAGCAGATCACTGAGCACGTGACTTACCCCACCAAACTCTGCCCCATATTGTTATCAGTGTTGACGGCTAGAGCGCCTATATAAGCCAGTGACGGCGGCCGGCAGCCCTAGATCTAGCTATGTACAGGACCCTAACTAACGCCGCGTCGCTTGACGCTTTCCCTGCCCTCAGTCCCAACTTTGACGGCCTCACCAACTGTGACGGCCTCACCAACTGTGACGGCCTCAACAACAACTTCATATCCCTGGAGGAGATGGAGCGGGACTCTACAGACACGCATCATCTGCCGGTAACAGACACGCATCATCTGCCGGTCACCATCTTCACGCGCTCTGTGGCCCGGCACACGGACAATGACGTCATGAACCGGATACCGTACCCGGCACACCGTCCGGTGAACTACAACGAGTCGAGGATGTTCGTGCCGGTAGATGTCCCCACCCCCCGGGACGACTGCTCCATCGGCTGCAACAAGAACTCGGCTGGACGGTCCAGAAAGTCTGTGACCGCGCCCAACTCCCCCGGCCCCTACCCGTCTCACGCCTCACGACTCGACACCATCCACTTCACGTCACTCGAGAACGTCACGCTCTCGGACTTGTACCGGCCGGCAGGACTCCGGTCAACAGGACTCCGGCCAACAGGACTCCGGCCAACAGGACATGGCAGAGAGGACATGTCAGAGAGAGGACAGCTGGACAACCGCTGGACGGACGAGAGCCGTGAGCGCAGCGCCTCCACAAGCTTCGCTCACCTCTTTAAGCGGTGCCGGAGTGAACGTGACCTTGAGTCGGACTGGAACTCTCTGCTGCGTGACTGCAGTGAGCAGCAGATGATATACGAGCGTGAGTAGCCAGACCGGTCTAGAACCTTCTCATTGCTTAGTCCATGTTCTAACCTCACATTCCCATTCCCTTGTTTCACATCTCCCCATTCCCCTGTTTCACATCTCCCCATTCCCTTGATTCAATCTCCCCATTCCCTTGATTCAATCTCCCCATTCCCCTGTTTCACATCTCCCCATTCCCCTGTTTCACATCTCCCCATTCCCCTGTTTCACATCTCCCCATTCCCCTGTAACATATCTTATTCCCTTTGTCAGCATCTATTTTTATGAAGGAAATCGTTCCCTATTGAAACCGTCAGATAAATTGTCAAGATTTATTAGATCTTCCGCACGATCTCACAAGTTTTTATTAGAGCTTCTACACGTTATTTGTGACAAGTTTTTATTAGAGCTTCTACACGTTATTTGTGACAAGTTTTTATTAGAGCTTCTACACGTTATTTGTGACAAGTTTTTATTAGAGCTTCTACACGTTATTTGTGACAAGTTTTTATTACAGCTTCTACACGTTATTTGTGACAAGTTTTTATTAGATTTTACACACGTTATTTGTGACAAGTTTTTATTAGATCTTCCACACGTTATTTGTGACAAGTTTTATTAGATCTTCCACACGTTATTTGTGACAAGTTTTATTAGATTTTCCACACGTTATTTGTGACAAGTTTCTATTAGAGCTTCCACACGTTATTTGTGACAAGTTTTTTATTAGATCTTCCGTACGTTATTTGTGACAAGTTTTATTAGAGCTTCCGTACGTTGCCTGCTTGACGTTTGTGTGACGTCAGTAGCCGCGAGTTTAGCACCAGCTAGAAGCGGCGTCTCTCCCCAGCTGTGATAGAACCCGGAACTGTGAGCGTCAGTCAACCGTAGCTGGGTGGACGTGACAGCGTCAGTCAACCGTAGCTGGGTGGACGTGACAGTGAGCACGAGCCGACCTAATGTGGCCACACAACATCCCCTACTCGTCTTCCCATTCATAAAAGTTTCGGGTGGGGATGGGAGGGTCGAGGGGTCAAGGATACTGTTAGAAATACTGGAAAGGGGGGGGGGGGGGGGCTAGTGGCAAGCTTTGTCAACTCCGTGAAACATCTCAATGTACCTCTGGCCGTCCATTGCCTCTGGCCGTACTTGTTTTTATCACGGGCCGTCCATCGAAACGAACCGTCCATTGATCTGCGCCGTCCACTGATTCAGCCTAAATCAGCTGTATTATTGTGATCCTATCAGTTAACATTCCGTCCTCGACTCTCTTGATGTGTGACGTGAGTTTTGTGTGCTGTCACTTCATGTAAACAAGCACTTAGATATCTTACTGTACAGTCGCTTGGTGGAATCAACTCTAACATAAATGTATGCTACTCTAATAATATACATAGTATGTAATCATATACCAATATAAAAAACATGTATTATATATGCTAATACGTGTGTAAATATCTGTATCCTGTAGTCCTATCTAACACTGGAGTGTTGTCTTGTTGCTTTAATGACGTCTTCTAGTTATCAGCTTTGAACTTGATGGAGTCAAGGGACCTAACTAGAGCGTATGTTCACACCAGCCAACGTTATTTGACTGCACGCTAACAGGCTACCTGTGCTGGGTAGCCTCGCTAACAGGCTACCTGTGCTGGGTAGCCACGCTAACAGGCTACCTGTGCTGGGTAGCCTATGGGTAGCCACGCTAACAGGCTACCTGTGCTGGGTAGCCTATGGGTAGCCTCGAGTTATCTAGTCCATGTTTTGTTGTGTCATCCAGTGACGCTAATGGGATTGGTTTCTATTTTTGTTTTTTTAATTAGGTCATGTGACTCGTCATATGGTAATATTTAACATGAAGGAAAGATAACAATTTCTACACTCCTGATCAAAACAAGTGCAGATTGCAAGTGTCATACATCCTGTCACATATGTCACATATCCTGTCACATGTGTCACACATTATGTCACATGTGTCACACATTATGTCACATGTGTCACACATTATGTCACATGTGTCACACATTATGTCACATGTCTTACATTGTCACATATGTCACACATCTTGTCACAGGTGTTACATTTTGCCACAGGTGTCATACATCCCGTCACTGGTGTCACACATTATGTCACATGTCACACATTATGTCACACATGTCACATGTCACACATTATGTCACATGTGTCACCCTGTGAGCCCACCACTTAGTGTTGCTACCTGCTACCACTTAGTGTTGCTACCTGCTACCCATCTAACTATGTACTTGATGTTTCAGTGCTGTGTGCTGAGAGAGTCTCACAGATGACAAAAACTTACAATGATATAGAAGCTGTCACACGTCTACTGGAAGAGGTGGGTCACACATCACATCACACCCATCACACACATCACACACACACATCACACACACATCACATCACACATCACATCACACATGCTACACACAGCACATCACACACACATCATACACACACACATAGAAGCTGTCACACGTCTACTGGAAGAGTTGTGTCAGACACACACACACACATACACTAAGAAGCTGTAACCTACTTTCATCTTCATCCTACTACTGGTAGCCAATCTGTTTGACCAATCATCGTATGTGCATCAACAGAAAGAGCGCGACCTTGAACTTGCTGCTCGTATAGGTCAGACCCTACTCTCCAAGAACAAAGAGCTATCGTCCAGATCCGAGACCCTTGAAGAGCAATTAACCCTCGCTAACGAGCGGGTCAATCAGCTGCGACATGACCTGAGTATGAAGGATGAGCTGCTCCGGTTTTATAATGAGGACCTGGAGTACAACCACCCAGGGGAGGTCACTCCAAAGTTAGTCACACTCACACTTTTACATCACTCCAAAGTTAGTCCCACTTTTACATCACTCCAAAGTTAGTCCCACTCACACTTTTACATCACTCTAAAGTTAGTCACACTTTTACATCACTCCAAAGTTAGTCCCACTCACACTTTTACATCACTCCAAAGTTAGTCACACTCACACTTTTACATCACTCCAAAGTTAGTCCCACTCACACTTTTACATCACTCCAAAGTTAGTCCCACTCAAACTTTTACATCACTCCAAAGTTAGTCCCACTCACACTTTTACATCACTCCAAAGTTAGTCCCACTCACACTTTTACATCACTCCAAAGTTAGTCCCACTCACACTTTTACATCACTCCAAAGTTAGTCCCACTCACACTTTTACATCACTCCAAAGTTAGTCCCACTCACACTTTTACATCACTCCAAAGTTAGTCACACTTTTACATCACTCCAAAGTTAGTCCCACTCACACTTTTACATCACTCCAAAGTTAGTCCCACTCACACTTTTACATCACTCCAAAGTTAGTCCCACTCACACTTTTACATCACTCCAAAGTTAGTCCCACTCACACTTTTACATCACTCCAAAGTTAGTCCCACTCACACTTTTACATCACTCCAAAGTTAGTCCCACTCACACTTTTACATCACTCCAAAGTTAGTCCCACTCACACTTTTACATCACTCCAAAGTTAGTCACACTTTTACATCACTCCAAAGTTAGTCCCACTCAAACTTTTACATCACTCCAAAGTTAGTCCCACTCACACTTTTACATCACTCCAAAGTTAGTCACACTTTTACATCACTCCAAAGTTAGTCCCACTCACACTTTTACATCACTCCAAAGTTAGTCCCACTCACACTTTTACATCACTCCAAAGTTAGTCACACTTTTACATCACTCCAAAGTTAGTCCCACTCACACTTTTACATCACTCCAAAGTTAGTCCCACTCACACTTTTACATCACTCCAAAGTTAGTCCCACTCACACTTTTACATCACTCCAAAGTTAGTCACACTCACACTTTTACATCACTCCAAAGTTAGTCACACTTTTACATCACTCCAAAGTTAGTCCCACTCACACTTTTAAATCACTCCAAAGTTAGTCCCACTCACACTTTTACATCACTCCAAAGTTAGTCCCACTCACACTTTTACATCACTCCAAAGTTAGTCACACTTTTACATCACTCCAAAGTTAGTCCCACTCACACTTTTAAATCACTCCAAAGTTAGTCACACTTTTACATCACTCCAAAGTTAGTCCCACTCAAACTTTTACATCACTCCAAAGTTAGTCCCACTCACACTTTTACATCACTCCAAAGTTAGTCACACTTTTACATCACTCCAAAGTTAGTCCCACTCACACTTTTACATCACTCCAAAGTTAGTCCCACTCACACTTTTACATCACTCCAAAGTTAGTCCCACTCAAACTTTTACATCACTCCAAAGTTAGTCACACTTTTACATCACTCCAAAGTTAGTCCCACTCAAACTTTTACATCACTCCAAAGTTAGTCCCACTCACACTTTTACATCACTCCAAAGTTAGTCCCACTCAAACTTTTACATCACTCCAAAGTTAGTCCCACTCACACTTTTACATCACTCCAAAGTTAGTCACACTTTTACATCACTCCAAAGTTAGTCCCACTCAAACTTTTACATCACTCCAAAGTTAGTCACACTTTTACATCACTCCAAAGTTAGTCCCACTCAAACTTTTACATCACTCCAAAGTTAGTCCCACTCACACTTTTACATCACTCCTAAGTTAGTCCCACTCAAACTTTTACATCACTCCAAAGTTAGTCCCACTCACACTTTTACATCACTCCTAAGTTAGTCCCACTCAAACTTTTACATCACTCTAAAGTTAGTCACACTCACACTTTTACATCACTCCTAAGTTAGTCCCACTCAAACTTTTACATCACTCCAAAGTTAGTCACACTCACACTTTTACACCACGCTGAAGTTTATTACACTAAGTTCACTGTAATTTTAAAAAAAAGTGTAATAATTATTCATAATTTGTCTCATTTACTTAAGCAGAGAAACTCATGCAAAAGTGTAATAATTATTCATAATTTGTCTCATTTACTTAAGCAGAGAAACTCACGCAAAGCTATAGATCTTATTACCTGTGTTTAACCTGGTTTAGCCCATGTTTGACCTGGTTTAACCCATGTTAAACCTGGTTTAGCCCGTGTTGAACCTGGTTTAGCCCATGTTGAACCTGGTTTAGCCCATGTTTGACCTGGTTTAGCTCATGTTTAACCTGGTTTAGCCCATGTTAAACCTGGTTTAGCCTGTGTTTAGCCTGGTTTAGCTCATGTTTAACCTGGTTTAGCCCATGTTTGACCTGGTTTAGCCCATGTTTGACCTGGTTTAGCTCATGTTTAACCTGGTTTAGCCCATGTTAAACCTGGTTTAGCCTGTGTTTAACCTGGTTTAGCCTGTGTTTAACCTGGTTTAGCTCATGTTTAACCTGGTTTAACCTGGTTTAGCCTGTGTTTAACCTGGTTTAGCTCATGTTTGACCTGGTTTAGCCCAAGTTTAACCTGGTTTAGCCCATGTTTAACCTGGTTTAGCCCATGTTTAACCTGGTTTTACCCATGTTTTCCTGGTTCAGCCCATGTTTGACCTCATTTAGCCCATGTTAAACCTGGTTTAGCCTGTGTTGAACCTGGTTTAGCTCATGTTTGACCTGGTTTAGCCCATGTTTAACCTGGTTTAGCCCATGTTTAACCTGGTTTAGCCCATGTTTAACCCGGTTAAGCTCATGTTGAACCTGGTTTAGCTCATGTTTGACCTGGTTTAGCCCATGTTTAACCTGGTTTAGCCCATGTTTAACCTGGTTTAGCCCATGTTTAACCCGGTTAAGCTCATGTTGAACCTGGTTTAGCTCATGTTTGACCTGGTTTAACACATGTTTAACCTCATTTAGCCCATGTTAAACCTGGTTTAGCCTGTGTTAAACCTGGTTTAGCCCATGTTTAACCTGGTTTAACACATGTTTAACCCGGTTCAGCCCATGTTCAACCTCCTTTAGCCCATGTTTAACCCAGTTTAGCTCATGTTGAACCTGGTTTAGCTCATGTTTGACCTGGTTTAGCCCATGTTTAACCTGGTTTAGCCCATGTTTAACCTGGTTTAGCCCATGTTTAACCTGGTTTAGCCCATGTTTAACCTGGTTTAGACCATGTTTAACCTGGTTCAGCCCATGTTTAACCTCATTTAGCCCATGTTAAACCTGGTTTAGCCTGTGTTAAACCTGGTTTAGCCCATGTTTAACCTGGTTAACCCATGTTTAACCTGGTTAAGCCCATGTTTAACCTGGTTTAGCCCATGTTTAACCTGGTGTTCTGTCTGACCCAGTGAAAAGCCCCCCCATGACGGCATCAATGTTGACTTTCTCAAGAAGAAGGTGGAAACTTTGGAGGACGAGAACCTCAACCTCAGGCTAGAGGTAAGGTCACTGTCACATCAGCATCTGTCACTGTCACAACAGCTGTCACTGTCACAACAGCTGTCACTGTCACAACAGCTGTCACTGTCACAACAGCTGTCACTGTCACAACAGCTGTCACTGTCACAACAGATGTCACTGTCACAACAGCTGTCACATCAGCTGTCACTGTCACAACAGCTGTCACTGTCACACCAGCTGTCACATTATCTGTCACTGTCACACCAGCTGTCACTGTCACACCAGCTGTCACTGTCACACCAGCTGTCACTGTCACGTCAGTGTCACAACAGCTGTCACTGTCACATTAGCTGTCACTGTCACACCAGCTGTCACTGTCACAACAGCTGTCACTGTCACATCAGCTGCCACTGTCACAACAGCTGTCACTGTCACATCAGCTGTCACTGTCACATCAGATGTCACTGTCACAACAGTTGTCACATCAGCTGTCACTGTCACAACAGATGTCACTGTCACAACAGCTGTCACTGTCACAACAGCTGTCACTGTCACATTAGCTGTCACTGTCACATCAGATGTCACTGTCACACCAGCTGTCACTGTCACACCAGCTGTCACTGTCACACCAGCTGTCACTGTCACAACAGCTGTCACTGTCACACCAGCTGTCACTGTCACAACAGTTGTCACATCAGCTGTCACTGTCACAACAGATGTCACTGTCACACCAGCTGTCACTGTCACACCAGCTGTCACTGTCACAACAGCTGTCACTGTCACACCAGCTGTCACTGTCACAACAGTTGTCACATCAGCTGTCACTGTCACAACAGATGTCACTGTCACAACAGCTGTCACTGTCACAACAGCTGTCACTGTCACAACAGCTGTCACTGTCACATCAGCTGTCACTGTCACAACAGAATGTCCTATTAAATGTCCTACTAAAATGTCCTACATTTGAGTTACATTAAAAATGTGCTACATTTAATGTCCTGCTAAAAAGTCTGACATGTCTAGTTAAAATGTCCTACTTTCAACATCCTGTCAAGAATGTCCTACATATAATGTCTTGTAAAAATTTCCTACATTTAAGTTCCATTAAAAATGTCCTATATTTAATGTCCTTCTAAAATGTCCTTCCTTGTATATCCTTTGTGTAGAGTGCCCAGCTCAAGTCAACCACAGACAGCTATGAGGAGAAAGAGAAAAAATTGGTGGAGGACTGTATCCAGCAGCTGGGTAAGTTCTGGTCACCTCTTAACCTGGGGTAGCCAGGTGTTGACATGAGGAGAAAGAGAAAAAATTGGTGGAGGACTGTATCCAGCAGCTGGGTAAGTTCTGGTCATCTCTGGGGTAGCCAGGTGTTGACCTGGGGTAGCCAGGTGTTGACCTGGGGTAGCCAAGTGTTGACCTGGGGTAGCCACATGTTGACCTGGGGTAGCCAAGTGTTGACCTGGGGTAGCCACAAGTTGACATGGGGTAGCCACAAGTTGACATGGGGTAGCCACATGTTGACATGGGGTAGCCACATGTTGACCTGGGGTAGCCACATGTTGACCCGGTGTAGCCACATGTTGACCTGGGGTAGCCACATGCTGACATGGGATAGTAGCGTGTATGACATGTGTTGACTGTAAATATCATGAGTGAACTAATGCCATGTGACATGTATTACCAGCTGAAGTAAACCACCAAGTGGAGTCTCTAGCTGAAGAGCTGCATGAGAAATGTGAGGAGTGTCTACATCAGAAGGAGGAGATCACCATCTTCCTGGGCCAGATAGCTGAGTTACAGACCAAGATAAGGAAGGTGGGTGTTAGGGGAGGGGCCAGATAGCTGAGTTACAGACCAAGATAAGGAAGGTGGGTGTTAGGGGAGGGGCCAGATAGCTGAGTTACAGACCAAGATAAGGAAGGTGGGTGTTAGGGGAGGGGCCAGATAGCTGAGTTACAGACCAAGATAAGGAAGGTGGGTGTTAGGGGAGGGGCCAGATAGCTGAGTTACAGACCAAGATAAGGAAGGTGGGGGAGGGGCCAGATAGGGGAGTTACAGACCAAGATAAGGAAGGTGGGTGCTAGGGGAGGGGCCAGATAGGGGAGTTACAGACCAAGATAAGGAAGGTGGGTGCTAGGGGAGGGGCCAGATAGCTGAGTTACAGACCAAGATAAGGAAGGTGGGTGCTAGGGGAGGGGCCAGATAGCTGAGTTACAGACCAAGATAAGGAAGGTGGGTGTTAGGGGAGGTGGTGCTGGGGGAGGGGCCAGATAGCTGAGTTACAGACCAAGATAAGGAAGGTGGGTGCTAGGGGAGGGGCCAGATAGCTGAGTTACAGACCAAGATAAGGAAGGTGGGTGTTAGGGGAGGGGCCAGATAGCTGAGTTACAGACCAAGATAAGGAAGGTGGGTGCTGGGGGAGGTGGGTGCTAGGGAGCGGGTGGGGGTGCTAGGGGAGGGGCCAGATAGCTGAGTTTCAGACAAAGATAAGGAAGGTGGGTGCTAGGGGAGGGGGGTACTAGGGGAGGTGGTGCTAGGGGAGGGTGAGGGGATCAAGATTAGGGAGGTGGGTACTAGGGAGGGGGTTGCTAGACTAGTGGTATTTCCATCCGGTTAAATTGTCATGCAACTGTTGTTTACCTTAAAATGTGACAGATGAGCTGTCAGAAAATGTGACAATTTTGTGACATTTGTTTTCTCAGCTGACACTTGACAACATGGACCTGCATGAAAAACTGACGGCATCAACTGAGTCACAGCGTAGGCTGACTAAAGAGGTACGTCAAGATATCATACGTTTGTTGTACGTCAGGATATCATGTGTTTGTTGTACGTCAGGATATCATGTGTTTGTTGTACGTCAGGATATCATGTGTTTGTTGTACGTCAAGATATAATGGTTTTGTTGTACGTCAGGATATCATGCATTTGTTGTACGTCAGGATATCATGTGTTTGTTCTACGTCAGGATATCATGTGTTTTTTCTATGTCAGGATATCATGTGTTTGTTTACGTCAGGATATCATGTGTTTGTTGTACGTCAGGATATCATGTGTTTGTTGTACATCAGGATATCATGAGTTTGTTGTATGTCAAGATATCTTGTGTTTGTTGTACGTCAGGATATAATGTGTTTGTTGTATGTCAAGATATGTGTTTGTTGTACGTCAGGATATCATGTGTTTGTTGTACGTCAAGATATCATGTGTTTGTTGTATGTGAGGATATCATGTGTTTGTTATATGTAAGGATATCATGTGGACCTGAGGATGTATGTTTGTTTGTTGGACCTGTATGTTTGTATGTTGGACCTGTATGTTTGTATGTTGGACCTGTATGTTTGTATGTTGGACCTGTATGTTTGTATGTTGGACCTGTATGTTTGTATGTTAGACCTGTTTGTTTGTATGTTGGACCTGTATGTTTGTATGTTGGACCTGTATGTTTGTATGTTGGACCTGTATGTTTGTATGTTGGACCTGTATGTTTGTATGTTGGACCTGTATGTTTGTATGTTGGACCTGTATGTTTGTATGTTGTTAGCTTGGCACAAGATGTATGTTGGACCTGTATGTTTGTATGTTGGACCTGTATGTTTGTATGTTGGACCTGTATGTTTGTATGTTGGACCTGTATGTTTGTATGTTGCCAGCTTGGCAGCATGCAGGACAAGTATGACGAGCTGTTGGAGATGATGGAGGAGGCCACAGACGAACTTCGCATTTTGCGAGGCCGACACAAAGTTCGGGCCAACGGCCAACACCATCACTCAGCGTATGCCATCCCCACAGACTCTCTGGCATCAGAGCTGGAAACATCCCTGCAGCAGGAGTTGTCTCAGTCCAACAGGAGGTAGTCTCCCTTGTTAGAGCTATACTGGGTTGTGTCCCTTACCTTAGTCATATTGGGTCGTCTCCCTTACTCTAGTCATACTGGGTTGTCTCCCTTACTCTAGTCATACTGGGTCGTCTCCCTTGTTAGAGTTATACTGGGTCATTTCCTATGCTAAAGTTACACTGGGTAGTCTCCCTTACCTTAGCCATACTGGGTCGTCTCCCTTACCTTAGTCATATTGGGTTGTCATCCTTACCTTAGCCATACTGGGTCATCTTTCTTACCTTATCCATACTGGGTCGTCTCCCTTACCTTATCCATAAAGGGTCGTCTCCCTTACCTTAGCCATTCTGGGTCGTCTCCCTTACCTTAGCCATACTGGGTCGTCTCCCTTACCTTATCCATACTGGGTCGTCTCCCTTACCTTATCCATACTGGGTCGTCTCCCTTACCTTATCCATACTGTGTCGTCTCCCTTACCTTAGTCATACTTTCCTTTTAAATTAGTTTTCCCTGAATTATCCACCCCAATCTATGGCATTAAAATTGTCCACTGTTGCCATGGCAACCGTGTGTCTCACAGAGCCCAGAGCTGGAAAGTGTTTGAGACAGCCAGAGCCGCCAAGCGAGCCGCGACCAAAGCAGCCCAGAGGGAGGTCATGTCGTCCACCAGGATGTCAGTGATGGCACTGCCGTCACAGAGTGGCAACACGTCACAGAACCAGTCGACATACCCGTCAGATGTGGAGAGTATTGCTAGTGATGGCTACAGCGCGGACATGGACAGCCTCTATGGGTAGGTTTCTTGTCTAATGGGCAGCCTCTATGGGTAGGTTTCTTGTCTAATGGACAGCCTCTATGGGTAGGTTTCTTGTTGTCTGATGGACAGCCTCTATGGGTAGGTTTCTTGTTGTCTAATGGACAGCCTCTATGGGTAGGTTTCTTGTCTGATGGACAGCCTCTATGGGTAGGTTTCTTGTTGTCTGATGGACAGCCTCTATGGGGAGGTTTCTTGTTTGATGGACAGCCTCTATGGGTAGGTTTCTTGTTGTCTGATGGACAGCCTCTATGGGTAGGTTTCTTGTTTGATGGACAGCCTCTATGGGTAGGTTTCTTGTTGTCTAATGGACAGCCTCTATGGGTAGGTTTCTTGTCTGATGGACAGCCTCTATGGGTAGGTTTCTTGTTGTCTGATGGACAGCCTCTATGGGTAGGTTTCTTGTTGTCTGATGGACAGCCTCTATGGGTAGGTTTCTTGTTGTCTGATGGACAGCCACTATGGGTAGGTTTCTTATTTAATGGACAGCCTCTATGGGTAGGTTTCTTATTTAATGGACAGCCTCTATGGGTATGTTTCTTGTTGTCTGATGGACAGCCTCTATGGGTAGGTTTCTTGTCTGATGGACAGCCTCTATGGGTAGGTTTCTTGTTGTCTAATGGACAGCCTCTATGGGTAGGTTTCTTGTTGTCTGATGGACAGCCTCTATGGGTAGGTTTCTTGTTGTCTGATGGACAGCCACTATGGGTAGGTTTCTTATTTAATGGACAGCCTCTATGGGTATGTTTCTTGTTGTCTGATGGACAGCCTCTATGGGTAGGTTTCTTGTCTGATGGACAGCCTCTATGGGTAGGTTTCTTGTTGTCTGATGGACAGCCTCTATGGGTAGGTTTCTTGTTGTCTGATGGACAGCCTCTATGGGTAGGTTTCTTGTTGTCTGATGGACAGCCACTATGGGTAGGTTTCTTATTTAATGGACAGCCTCTATGGGTAGGTTTCTTATTTAATGGACAGCCTCTATGGGTATGTTTCTTGTTGTCTGATGGACAGCCTCTATGGGTAGGTTTCTTGTCTGATGGACAGCCTCTATGGGTAGGTTTCTTGTTGTCTGATGGACAGCCTCTATGGGTAGGTTTCTTGTTTGATGGACAGCCACTATGGGTAGGTTTCTTGTCTGATGGACAGCCTCTATGGGTAGGTTTCTTGTTGTCTGATGGACAGCCTCTATGGGTAGGTTTCTTGTCTGATGGACAGCCTCTATGGGTAGGTTTCTTGTTGTCTAATGGACAGCCTCTATGGGTAGGTTTCTTGTTGTCTGATGGACAGCCTCTATGGGTAGGTTTCTTGTTTGATGTCTACAGCCTCTATGGGTAGGTTTCTTGTTGTCTGATGGACAGCCTCTATGGGTAGGTTTCTTGTTGTCTGATGGACAGCCTCTATGGGTAGGTTTCTTGTTTGATGTCTACAGCCTCTATGGGTAGGTTTCTTGTTTGATGTCTACAGCCTCTATGGGTAGGTTTCTTGTTTGATGTCTACAGCCTCTATGGGTAGGTTTCTTGTTGTCTGATGGACAGCCTCTATGGGTAGGTTTCTTGTTTGATGTCTACAGCCTCTATGGGTAGGTTTCTTGTTTGATGTCTACAGCCTCTATGGGTAGGTTTCTTGTTGTCTGATGGACAGCCTCTATGGGTAGGTTTCTTGTTGTCTGATGGACAGCCTCTACGGGTAGGTTTCTTGTTTGATGTCTACAGCCTCTAGGTTTCTTTTTGTTTACTGAAACCCTCCCCCTATCCAACAGTGTAACCAGCTTTTGGGACAGGGGTATCGTCTGGATAAAATGGTGTCAACTTATCACTTTATGAAAATGTAGACCACTGGCTGTCAGAGAATGTTCTCACTGGGACGGGCCACTCCCCCACGCCCCACCCTGTCAGTGTAACCCTCAATTGGACTGGCTGTTTACCCTACACCTACTGTGTGCCATTAGTCAACTGATCTGACCCCCACCCCACCCCTCTCCTCCAGGTCCAACCCAGAACTTGGACGGCCTGGGATCCCAGGCTCTAATGACCTGGAGAGTGCCTTGAAGAGGCTGGCACTGAGGAAAGCCAACGAGTTGAATGAGAGGGACTTTCATGAGGAGGAGGAGAGGAAGAGGAAACAGGAGCTAGAGAGAGAGATGTGAGTACAAGACTGGTTGACTGACTGACCAGTAAATCAAGTTTGAATGGTCTTGTGTCTGGTTGACTGACTGACCAGTAGATCAAGTTTGAATGGTCTTGTGTCTGGTTGACTGACCAGTAGATCAAGTTTGAATGGTCTTGTGTCTGGTTGACTGACCAGTAGATCAAGTTTGAATGGTCTTGTGTCTGGTTGACTGACTGACCAGTAGATCAAGTTTGAATGGTCTTGTGTCTGGTTGACTGACTGACCAGTAGATCAAGTTTGAATGGTCTTGTGTCTGGTTAACTGACTGACTGACCAGTAGATCAAGTTTGAATGGTCTTGTGTCTGGTTGACTGACTGAGCTGTGTGTTACAGAAGTGGCACCACCTCACCCCAGAGTGTCAGGAGTCACTACCAAGATGGCGTCAGGTCTCCTGGCATCATGTCCTGGAACTCTGGGCCGCCAACCTTCAAAATCTCTGACAAACTTCAGATAGTCAAACCTCTGGAAGGTCAGTCTGGTTTCTCTTACCTGTCTTTAGGTCACCTGTTGTCTGCTGTGTGGGTAGGTCACCTGTGGGGTGGGTAGGTCACCTGTGAGGTGGGTAGGTGACCTGTTTGAGGGGTGGGCAGGTCACCTGTGAGGTGGGTAGGTGACCTGTGGGGGGGGGGGGGGTAGGTGACCTGTTGTCTGTGGGGTGGGTAGGTGACCTGTTGTCTGTGGGGTGGGTAGGTGACCTGTTGTCTGTGAGGTGGGTAGGTGACCTGTTGTCTGCTGTGTGGGTTGGTCACCTGTGGGGTGGGTAGTTGACCTGTTTGTGAGGTGGGTAGGTGACCTGTTGTCTGTGGGGTGGGTAGGTGACCTGTTGTCTGTGGGGTGGGTAGGTGACCTGTTGTCTGTGGGGTGGGTAGGTGACCTGTTGTCTGTGGGGTGGGTAGGTGACCTGTTGTCTGTGAGGTGGGTAGGTGACCTGTTGTCTGTGGGGTGGGTAGGTGACCTGTTGTCTGTCGATGCCATTTATATCCTCTACCTTTCATCTGTACCTGCTGCCACTTGCACCATCTATACCTACTTGCAGGTTCAATGACCTTGAGACACTGGCAGCACCTGGCCACTCCCCACCTGGGCGGAATCTTTGAGGAGAGGGAGGGGGTCCAGATGAGGGGAGAGAAGAAACTTGAGCTGGTGGAGGAGGTTTACTCCCTGAGTGACCTGGAGGAAGATGGTGAGTGCTTGACCACTGGTCAGTTGCTCTTGCTAGTTCCTTGCTCAAACACCACTCAATCTAACGACCTTTGAACTTTCAGATGACCCAAGTGATGTCCACACAAGGAAGGAGCAGGATAGCAGTTTGATCTACACATTCACAGACTCCACAGTCAGGAACCCTGGACCTTACATGGGGCTTGGGACCTTAGCTAGTCTTAGGTAGGTCATCATGGTACATACTCAGCCACCCTGGACCTTACATGGGGCTTGGGACCTTAGCTAGTCTTAGGTAGGTCATCATGGTACATACTCAGCCACCCTGGACCTTACATGGGGCTTGGGACCTTAGCTAGTCTTAGGTAGGTCATCATGGTACATACTCAGCCACCCTGGACCTTACATGGGACTTGGGACCTTAGCTAGTCTTAGGTAGGTCATCATGGTACATACTCAGCCACACTGGACCTTACATGGGGCTTGGGACCTTAGCTAGTCTTAGGTAGGTCATCATGGTACATACTGCATGCTCAGCCACCCTGGACCTTACATGGGGCTTGGGACCTTAGCTAGTCTTAGGTAGGTCATCATGGTACATACTCAGCCACCCTGGACCTTACATGGGGCTTGGGACCTTAGCTAGTCTTAGGTAGGTCATCATGGTACATACTGCATGCTCAGACCCCTGGACCTTACATGGGGCTTGGGACCTTAGCTAGTCTTAGGTAGGTCATCATGGTACATGCTTAGCCACCCTGGACCTTACATGCATCTCTGGCAAGTTGCAGAATGTCTTGTGTTGTGTGTGTGTCTAGACCTGTCCAATGCTGACTCTTCTATTTGTCCACAGTAGTTCACCCAGCCAGAGCACACTAGAGGACCCACCCATTCAAGCCTCCACACCAAGGGCAGACACCACCCAGAGCACATACAGCATGACCCTGGGGCTGGCTGCCCTCCTGGGGGGCAGGGAGACAGCCGTGGAGCGGGCTTTGTCCCGGGTCTCTGCTTTGAGTGGCCACCCACCCACCAGACCCGCCACAGACACGCCTCCAACCCCTGGCCTTGACCTTAACCAGAGGGTTCTTTCTTCAAGGTCGCTTGGCAGTTTATCTTCATCTTCTAACTCACCCCAGCCCAAGAACCTACCAGGGTCAAGGTCACTAGACAAAGTTCTGATGGAGCGAGAGGACGGGTCCTTGTCCAGCTTTGCTGACCCGTCCCAGAAACCCAGCCTGTTTGTGCCGGGTATGACGGGTCAGGGGTTTCTCCAGCAGTTAAAAAACAAAGGCTACTCGCTGTACGGCCTGTGGGGGGGCAAGGGCCCCACGGAGAGCAGCACAGATGGAGCCGAGGGCCCCACCAAGGCAACAGCTGAGTCAGTGCTGCCCAATGGTGCGGGGGTGGGGGTACTGGGGGCGCTGACCAACTTCAGGCGCAGTGGCATTTTGTGAGACTCACATTTGGGCATGTCAGTCTGCTTAACCTCACTGGGATCATTGACATCAGATGTCAGACTGACATGTCATCAGCCAATCTATATATGTCCTACATTCCTCATGTCATAATCAAGCATCCTCATAGAGTGGACTCTGTTGATGTGGTGTGTGGGTGGGATGTGTGTTGTTTGAGTCCACTGTTTGTGTTTAAACAATGTGCCAAGTGAACAGGAAGGATAACTTGACATGGCTAATGACATGACACATGGCTCATGACATGGAACAGAAGTGTCACTGTAACAGACTCTGTGATTGGCCAAAATGATCCTGCTAAAACCAAAGGTCACAAACCAGGGGACATAACCCCTCTATTGATTTGATGGCAGGAGAACCACTGTGCCACAGATTTGAATCAATTGTTGTTTTACAGCTTTAGTAGTGTAATGAATGTACAAAATGTTGACCACATTATTTTATCATAGCAAATATTTGTATCCCTTTTTTGTCCTACCAAATATTTTGTTTGTGCCAATTGTTTGTCCTACCAAATATTTTGTTTGTGCCAATTGTTTGTCCTACCAAATATTTTGTTTGTGCCAATTGTTTGTCCTACCAAATATTTTGTTTGTGCCAATTGTTTGTCCTACCAAATATTTTGTTTGTGCCAATAGTTTGTCCTACCAAATATTTTGTTTGTGCCAATTGTTTGTCCTACCAAACGCCATAGTTTCTTGTGTGCCAATTGTCCACATATGTGCCACCATTACCAGCCAGTGCCCTGGCCAGGGTGAGCTTGCAATACTTGAGCTCAGTCCACTGTGCTGGTATGTCATTTGACTTTCTAAATCTTTGTGTACTTTTACAAAATGTGTTACTGTAAGTAAAGTTGATGTGAGTTTAGGTTGTAAAAACTTGGGTTAGTAAAGTTGATGTGAGGTTGTAAAAACTTGAGTTAGTAAAGTTGATGTGAGGTTGTAAAAACTTGGGTTAGTAAAGTTGATGTGAGGTTGTAAAAACTTGGGTTAGTAAAGTTGATGTGAGTTTAGGTTGTAAAAACTTGGGTTAGTAAAGTTGATGTGAGTTTAGGTTGTAAAAACTTGGGTTAGTAAAGTTGATGTGAGTTTAGGTTGTAAAAACTTGTGTTAGTAAAGTTGATGTGAGTTTAGGTTGTAAAAACTTGGGTTAGTAAAGTTGATGTGAGTTTAGGTTGTAAAAACTTGGGTTAGTAAAGTTGATGTGAGTTTAGGTTGTAAAAACTTGGGTTAGTAAAGTTGATGTGAGTTTAGGTTGTAAAAACTTGGGTTAGTAAAGTTGATGTGAGGTTGTAAAAACTTGGGTTAGTAAAGTTGATGTTAGGTTGTAAAAACTTGGGTTAGTAAAGTTGATGTGAGTTGAGGTTGTAAAAACTTGGATTAGTAAAGTTGATGTGAGTTTAGGTTGTAAAAACTTGAGTTAGTAAAGTTGATGTGAGTTTAGGTTGTGAAAACTTGGATTAGTAAAGTTGATGTGAGTTTAGGTTGTAAAAACTTGGGTTAGTAAAGTTGATGTGAGTTTAGGTTGTAAAAACTTGAGTTAGTAAAGTTGATGTGAGTTTAGGTTGTGAAAACTTGGATTAGTAAAGTTGATGTGAGTTTAGGTTGTAAAAACTTGGGTTAGTAAAGTTGATGTGAGTTGAGGTTGTAAAAACTTGGGTTAGTAAAGTTGATGTGAGTTTAGGTTGTAAAAACTTGGATTAGTAAAGTTGATGTGAGTTGAGGTTGTAAAAACTTGGGTTAGTAAAGTTGATGTGAGTTTAGGTTGTAAAAACTTGGGTTAGTGACAGTCAACTGTGGTTGTGTAAACCAACTGGTCGCTCCACACTATTTGCTGCACATCTCATGGGCTTAGTTGATTAGATTTGTCAGTGTGGACAGAGTGACACTCTGCCAGGTGATTAGCTGATGGTCAAACCCTGACAAGGTTAAACCCTGACAAGGTCAAATCCTGACAAGGTCAAACCCTGACGAGGTCAAACCCTGATGAGGTCAAACTCTGACGTGGTCAAACCCTGACAAGGTCAAACCATGACAAGGTCAAACCCTGACAAGGTCAAACCCTGACAAGGTCAAACCCTGACAAGGTCAAACACCTCTAGTTTGGCTAAAGCTAAAACAAAAAGCAATTTTTTCTCATTGAGGCTCAGCATGTACGGCTGAATTAATTGTATAATTTTATTACAAAGAGACAATATGTATGGCTGAATTAATTGTATAGTTTTTTTACAAAGAGACAATATATAGGGCTGAATTGATTAAAGTAGATATGCCTTTCTACAAACAAATGATTGTACAGACATGGTTGATTGAATGATTGCCCACATGTTTGATTGAATGATTGCCCACATGTTTGATTGAATGATTGCCCACATGTTTGAATGATTGCCCACATGTTTGATTGAATGATTGCCCACATGTTTGATTGAATGATTGCCCACATGTTTGATTGAATGATTGCCCACATGTTTGATTGAATGATTGCCCACATGTTTAATTGAATGATTGCCCACATGTTTGATTGAATGATTGCCCACATGTTTGATTGAATGATTGCCCACATGTTTGATTGAATGATTGCCCACATGTTTGATTGAATGATTGCCCACATGTTTGATTGAATGATTGCCCACATGTTTGATTGAATGATTGCCCACATGTTTGATTGAATGATTGCCCACATGTTTGATTGAATGATTGCCCACATGTTCCTGATCTGATTTTGTTTTTGTACTGTACTTAAGTCCTACTTCATTGTAGCTATTTATAGAATTTTATTTTAAGCTCTATTCATAGAATTTTATTTTAAGCTCTATTCATAGAATATTTTTAGTTGTGTTATTGTGCCTGAAGTCTTTCATTACATCTTTATATTTATGATTTCTGATATATTTATGATTTCTGATATATTTATGATTTCTGTATATTTATGAATTCTGATATATTTATGATTTCTGATATATTTATGATTTCTGTTATATTTATCATTTTTGTTTTATTTATGATTTCTGAGCTGATCTTCTGTCTCAAAGTTTTAAAAAATGAAGGGTGTATTTTATTCAAAAAATTTTTACCAAGATTCGAATTCTAAAAACATCTTTTTGACATCTGTCGGTAGTTCTAAAAATAGTTGTAGATTTGCAACTGGTAGGTCTATGTTTTTTCTGTCTGAGTTTTCCTTTGTTGAATGTTGTTAATTGTATGCAACTAAAAATCTCACCATTTTGTGATTTGCTCTTGATTGAAGATTTGATGAAACAAAATTTGTTGAAATGTTAAATAGTATCAAATGTTGAATGCTTCACAATGTTAAAATGCTAAATACCCTCATCTTCCATACACTACATGACAACTTCTAGATGTACTATATCATAGACCTCCATAAAGTTCTAGACGTATTATAACAGAGAGCTCCATTCTCTAAAGTTCTAGACGTACTATATGAAATACCTCATCAAATTGAAATCATTGTTTCTTCCAGACTTTTTTCTCCGGGGGTGCATTTGAAATTTTCAAGGGGGGCGGACAACAATTTTTGGGGGAGGCGGACACTGTCAAAAGTATATATTTTCTATATAAATTAAATTCCATTTTGTTCGGGGGGGGGGGCCTGGAAGAAACTCTGATTGAAATGGTGTGACCTGTGATACCTTCCATTGATTGTTGGCATGACGTCAGCTATTTTGTACATTAGGGCTAGCTGTCTCAGCTATAGATGTCATGGCTAGATGTCTCAGCTATAGATGTTATGGCTAGCTGTCTCAGCTATAGATGTCATGGCTAGCTGTCTCAACTATAGATGTCGTGGCTAGCTGTCTCAGCTATAGATGTCGTGGCTAGCTGTCTCAGCTATAGATGTCGTGGCTAGCTGTCTCAGCTATAGATGTCGTGGCTAGCTGTCTCAGTTCTAGACGTCGTGGCTAGCTGTCTCAGCTATAGATGTCGTGGCTAGCTGTCTCAGCTATAGTTGTCTCAGCTATATACGTGGCTAGCTGTCTCAGCTATAGTTGTCTCAGCTATAGACGTGGCTAGCTGTCTCAGCTATAGACGTGGCTAGCTGTCTCAGCTATAGATGTCGTAGCTAGCTGTCTCAGTTCTAGACGTCGTGGCTAGCTGTCTCAGCTATAGATGTCGTGGCTAGCTGTCTCAGCTATAGTTGTCTCAGCTATAGATGTGGCTAGCTGTCTCAGCTATAATTGTCTCAGCTAGAGACGTGGCTAGCTGTCTCAGCTATAGATGTCTCAGCCACAGATGTTATGGTTAGTAGTCAAACCTGTTGATGTTATTATTCAAATAGTTTCTACAATTAGCTGGCGTGAGCAATGTTATCCAACATGACATGGACATAATTGATGGTTTCATGTGGCATTAGCATGACATAATTGATGGTGTCATGTGGCATTAGCATAATGGATCCTGCTGTTGTACCATTAGCAAAGTATTTTCTCTTGCTAAACTACCAAAATGTCAAGTTGATAGTAGTGTGTGTTGGTGAATGATGCTTGATCAATTGATTGGTGTGTAGGTAAGTTGTCTGCGTCCATTCAGTAGTTGGCTCCTTTTTACTTCTGTTCATTAAACATGGACTTGATCAGATGAGCAATAAACCAACTTGGTAGAGCAATCACATGGGCAGCCAGCTGACTCAAATCAAATCTCCCAATTTTTTTTACATTTTTATGTAACAATTTTACTGTGAAATAAATTTAATGTTCATTGTTAAAATGTTATCCTATTTTGCTAATGTAAATTTGCTTTTTAAAAACAAGTTTTTTTTTTTTTTTTTTTCCCCATGGTTGAAGAATAAATCTCCCCCTTGTGATTTTTGAATGATTTAATTTTCAGCTCAGTTCTTGTATTTGTTTCCCTGTGTGTATGGTAGACAGGTTACATTTTTACAATTTTGATAATGAATTTATTATTTTAATAGCAAGTTTCTTGTGATATTTTCATCTTAAATAAACTTATCAACATAATGGATCTTTGTTGTTGATCTTTATTGATCTTCATTATGTGCCTGGTGATCTTTAGGTGACTGGTGTAAGGTGATCTTTAGGTGACTGGTGTAATGTGATCTTTAGGTGACTTCTGTAAGGTGGTCTTTAGGTGACTTCTGTAAGGTGATCTTTGGGTGACTGGTGTAATGTGATCTTTAGGTGACTGGTGTAAGGTGATCTTTATGTGACTGGTGTAAGGTGATCTTTAGGTGACTGGTGTAAGGTGATCTTTAGGTGACTTCTGTAAGGTGATCTTTAGGTGACTTGTGTAAGGTGATCTTTAGGTGACTTGTGTAAGGTGATCTTTAGGTGACTTGTGTAAGGTGATCTTTAGGTGACTTCTGTAAGGTGATCTTTAGGTGACTTCTGTAAGGTGATCTTTAGGTGACTTGTGTAAGGTGATCTTTAGGTGACTTCTGTAAGGTGATCTTTATATGACTGGTGTAAGGTGATCTTTAGGTGACTGGTGTAAGGTGGTCTTTATGTGACTGGTGTAAGGTGATCTTTAGGTGACCTCTGTAAGGTGATCTTTAGGTGACTTCTGTAAGGTAATCTTTAGGTGACTTCTGTAAGGTGATCTTTATATGACTGGTGTAAGGTGATCTTTAGGTGACTGGTGTAATGTGATCTTTAGGTGACTGGTGTAATGTGATCTTTGGGTGACTGGTGTAAGGTGATCTTTATATGACTGGTGTAAGGTGATCTTTAGGTGACTGGTGTAATGTGATCTTTAGGTGACTTCTGTAAGGTGGTCTTTAGGTGACTTCTGTAAGGTGATCTTTGGGTGACTGGTGTAATGTGATCTTTAGGTGACTGGTGTAAGGTGATCTTTATGTGACTGGTGTAAGGTGATCTTTAGGTGACTGGTGTAAGGTGATCTTTAGGTGACTTCTGTAAGGTGATCTTTAGGTGACTTGTGTAAGGTGATCTTTAGGTGACTTGTGTAAGGTGATCTTTAGGTGACTTGTGTAAGGTGATCTTTAGGTGACTTCTGTAAGGTGATCTTTAGGTGACTTCTGTAAGGTGATCTTTAGGTGACTTGTGTAAGGTGATCTTTAGGTGACTTCTGTAAGGTGATCTTTATATGACTGGTGTAAGGTGATCTTTAGGTGACTGGTGTAAGGTGGTCTTTATGTGACTGGTGTAAGGTGATCTTTAGGTGACCTCTGTAAGGTGATCTTTAGGTGACTTCTGTAAGGTAATCTTTAGGTGACTTCTGTAAGGTGATCTTTATATGACTGGTGTAAGGTGATCTTTAGGTGACTGGTGTAATGTGATCTTTAGGTGACTGGTGTAATGTGATCTTTGGGTGACTGGTGTAAGGTGATCTTTATATGACTGGTGTAAGGTGATCTTTAGGTGACTGGTGTAATGTGATCTTTAGGTGACTGGTGTAATGTGATCTTTGGGTGACTGGTATAAGGTGATCTTTAGGTGACTGGTGTAATGTGATCTTTAGGTGACTGGTGTAATGTGATCTTAGGGTGACTTCTGTAAGGTGATCTTTAGGTGACTTCTGTAAAGTGATCTTTAGGTGACTTCTGTAAAGTGATCTTTAAGTGACTTGTGTAAGGTGATCTTTAGGTGACTTGTGTAAGGTGATCTTTAGGTGACTTGTGTAAGGTGATCTTTAGGTGACTGGTGTAAGGTGATCTTTATGTGACTGGTGTAAGGTGATCTTTAGGTGACTGGTGTAAGGTGACCTTTAGGTGACTTGTGTAATGTGATCTTAGGGTGACTTCTGTAAGGTGATCTTTAGGTGACTGGTGTAATGTGATCTTTAGGTGACTGGTGTAATGTGATCTTAGGGTGACTTCTGTAAGGTGATCTTTAGGTGACTTCTGTAAAGTGATCTTTAGGTGACTTCTGTAAAGTGATCTTTAAGTGACTTGTGTAAGGTGATCTTTAGGTGACTTGTGTAAGGTGATCTTTAGGTGACTTGTGTAAGGTGATCTTTAGGTGACTGGTGTAAGGTGATCTTTATGTGACTGGTGTAAGGTGATCTTTAGGTGACTGGTGTAAGGTGACCTTTAGGTGACTTGTGTAATGTGATCTTAGGGTGACTTCTGTAAGGTGATCTTTAGGTGACTTCTGTAAAGTGATCTTTAGGTGACTTCTGTAAAGTGATCTTTAGGTGACTGGTGTAAGGTGATCTTTATATGACTGGTGTAAGGTGATCTTTAGGTGACTTCTGTAAGGTGATCTTTAGGTGACTTGTGTAAGGTGATCTTTAGGTGACTGGTGTAAGGTGATCTTTAGGTGACTGGTGTAAGGTGATCTTTAGGTGACTGGTGTAAAGTGATCTTTAGGTGATTGGTGTAAGTGGATCTTTAGGTGACTTCTGTAAGGTGATCTTTATATGACTGGTGTAAGGTGATCTTTAGGTGACTGGTGTAATGTGATCTTTAGGTGACTGGTGTAATGTGATCTTTGGGTGAATGGTGTAAGGTGGTCTAAAATCATGTATGCCTATAAATAAAAGCTGGTAATCTATCATTTTAGGTATGTTAAATCAGACTTAACAAGTAATGTGAAAAAAGGTGACTCATTAAATTCATTTATAATTCATTTATATAGCAAATCATGCTCGCAAACACGGCTGTTTAAAGTTAATCTCTGGCCTATATTGAAATATTTAGACCTTGGTTTTTGGTTTATTATACTATTATATTTGACACAAATATAGATTTGATATGAAACGATAGATGACCTACAAGCTAAATATAGCGACTGAATGTGAGAGGATCTAAGCACGTTGCTTATTTTCTCTATGGTGGCGGAAATAAGCACTTCCAGAAAAAGCACAATTACATTTTGTTAGGTCTTTAGAGTTGCTGTTCCTTAAACTGAAGTTATATTTTTAACTGATGGAAACTACATACCGGTATTGCTAAAATAAAAATAGTACAGTAATGAAAACTAATTTACTTCCGGTATCTTAGATAGGGCCTATACTTTTAAGTTTAACATATTAATATTAGAAAAAATTAGTAGATTTAGAATAGATATGGATCATCTAGGCTAGATTCTAGAATCTAAATCGAATATTTATATTAGTCTAGATCTGGCTCTAATTCTATTACACAAGATTAGTTTAGTAGGCCCACATGAAAAAAAAAATGTTTGCTCTTAGTCTTATTCTCGCAGATAACTCAAGTTCAAGTAAGTAAGACCTAGAGTCTAGATTCTAGTAAGTTAAGTTCTCAAAATTATTTAAAAGTTAAAATAAAAATTTGCTTTAAAATATTTTAAAAGTCATAGATCTAGATCTAATAATTCTACATGATGTTATTAAAATCCCTGGTTACTGGTTAGGCTATGCCGCTATAGGCATAGAGGCCCTAAAATTTGTTACGATTTAGTCACAATAATACTTTTAAGATGTAGAATATACTTAAAATTATACTATCATACCTATTCTTATGATTTTTTTCTTGTAATTACATTCCGTACCAGTCAGTACCAGATCTTGCTTTAAATACCTGATAACATTCCTGACAAATTTCACAGAGAATAAGAGTTCTTAGGTCTATTATTTAATTATATATGGCGTATGGCGGTATGAACTTCTCTGATCGAGCGAATGTGAGCACACATGTAAAAATGTACATTCTTTTTTTCTCTTCTTATGTTAAGCTTAATTTGATTTTATAGGCCTATCACAGTATCAGTCCAAAATAAATAAGAAAATATATAGGACCTAATTGTACAAAATAGCTGGTTTAGTTTAGGGGGGGGGGGGGGTGATAAAACTGACACCATCAACAATCTCAAATAACAATATTCTTGCTGTGACTATGCTATACGCCTACACTACTGATATCTAAACCAAAGTGAACTCACAGTTTGCTGTGACTATGCTATACGCCTACACTACTGATATCTAAACCAAAGTGAACTCACAGTTTGAGTTGGTATTTTTCTCCTGCTGATAAGAAAACGAGAGTGGGCAATCAATATCACAGGAGCAAAAAAAATATTTAAAAATAAGCATGCTACGCATCTAAAGTTTAAGTGTTTACTCTAATCTGCACACAAAACTTTCTGGAGCAAGTGTTCAATATGTTCAATATTAACTGATTTTATATAGGCCTACAGAACCAAATATAGGGTATTTAGAAACAGTAGGACCTAACACTAGCAAATCCACAAAACTATTTAACACACACAGTAAAACTAAAACACAAAAAAAAATACTAGAAAATCTACAAGTAAATCAAATAAGCATAAAAGGTAAAATTTGAATACAGAAAATACAAATTTATTACTATTATTATAGACCAAACTTAATGCCTGTACCAAATACCGGCTGGGGCAATTAGCTTTAGGATCCGGTTCAGAATAGCTACTTCCATTCTTAGATCTAGATCTAGTATTTTTGATAACTACTAACTAAGCCTAAACTCTAAACAAAACTGTTAAAAGCCAAAAATAATTTGTTTGGGGCCTAGATCTACATTTTTATCACAGAAAATATAAACAAAAATGTCAGAGCTATGGTGGTGTTATAAAATTTAATTTTATTTAAAAACTTCATCAGCAAAGTTTTGAGAACAATTTACTATGAAGTGGGGTTTTCAGAATATTGATCACAGAGTTCCTGAATAGCCAACCTATGTTTGTCTTACGAAAGTTAAACTCTGGTTTATAACTTTGGTTTGATGAAATTAAATAGAAATGTAGTCCTAAGCTTTAAAAATTCTGCTTTTCTCTAGTACTGAGTACTAGACGTCTACTACTGTTTCTTACTTACTACTTCTAGATATATTGCTGGAATTTTAAGGGAAAAAGTCAGCATTCAAAAAGTTGTCCAGGGGACCCAAGTTTTTAAAATAAAAACATTTGGAGTTTTTTTTTTATTTTCTTGTTTATTGTCATTATTTTTAAGAGGAAAAATGTTCTCGGAATCATAAAATTGCTATCAAAATGGGAATCATCATACTGCAGAAAAAGAACAACTACTTTTTTTTGTAATCAGTTCAGAAACTTTAGCCTTTGAGAAAATTGACAGTCTCAGTCTACCGTACGGAGATCTAGCCCATATGTTTTATGTTGTAAAGAAAAAATATTTACGAACGTACTAAACTGCTGTCATTGCTAATGAGATAATAATTTAAACATGAGGACAAGTTCAAAAAGAAATGCCTACAGGAGGTTGTGTATGTTTATAAATTGTGTAGTTACTCCGCGGAAAGCTACTCTCAAGAAGAAATACCACGTATGATTTAAATATGCTGACATGTTCATAGTCCGTTTATATACTGATTTGCTTTCAATAGATTTTAGTCATATTGTCATAGCAACAACATCTGAATTCTTTAACACCATGTTTTGTTCTGCTTATTGGGGGAAGGGGGGAAATGTGTCGTCACAGGCTCAAATAGCAATGGTTCAGGCATTGACATGCTCTATAAGTCTACCTGTAAGTTGGCTGATTTGTTCTCCTCTCCTACCATTGACTGGGTTAAATTTGGTAATGTTGTAGATTAGTTGTAGTTTGCAAGTTATATCATTTCGTTTCAAATACTAGCTCATCCACAAAGAAGCAAGTCAAATGAACATAAAAGATATTCACTATCACACAGGTCATGTCTAACTATAGACCAAACTAAATGCAGGGTCAGGGTAGTGGTCCATGGCTGAACAGACCCTGGTCCCAAGAGCTAGTTGTTTATATATATATCTAAAAACTCTTGTTGAGTTGTGAATAACCTAACCATTATCTTTGATTCCTTAACCTTTTATTACCCAGCTATGACTTAATGACTTTACTTTTTTCTAGGCTAGAATCTGACTCGACTTGAAATGTTGACTGTACTGTGAGGGCCCGAGCATCTTCAAACATGGCCGACAGAGAGGAAGAGAAAAAGATGAGCAAGTTGAAGCGGAGATTCAGCAAAAAGCCTGCCTCACCTGGCCCTGCCTCACCTGGACCTGATGACCTCCCACCTGCAAACCTCAGGTCAGCGACCTTACCGACCTCAACTGACCTTGGCGCCATGGCCCTGCACCAGTCCCACAGTGAGGGGCTGTTCTCCAAGCTCAAGAGGAAGCTGCGCATCAACAGCAAGGGCAAGTACGACCTGAAATCTTCCCTCCTACCCTCCCCTGTCAAGCCAGCAGACGTGCGTCGCAAGAGTGACGACACCCAGCTGCGCCACAAGGAACAGACTTTACATGTCGACGTCAAAACTCCTGCGGCTCAGTCTGTCAAAACACAGCGCAAGACCAAATCTGACAAGGAAGAAGTTATTTTAATCCGCAAAGACAAGCGAGTGAGCGTGCTGTGTAAGGCAGAGAATGGCGGCAAGCCGGAGGTGATATTCACCAATGTGGAGGTCTCGGACGATGAGTCCTCTGGGCTGTGGGAGGTTCTAGAAGAAGATCCTTACGCCACCATCAACTCGGTGAAAGCTCCAGCAACATCTGTGGTTCAGGCTGCTCCCAGACAGGCTGAAGTAGAGTGCATGTACGCCAGGATCAACCCTGACAGGACCAGACCTTCTCCACTCCTGCAGAACAAGGACATGAACATCCAGGCCAAGGACTTCAACAGCAGTGTCCAGGCCAGGCTCAGATGTAGGAATGACCACGACTACGAGACTTTGGACGAGGTCAAGCGTCAAACACAGGTGTTGAGCCTTTGCGCTGACCCTCTGGTGGCTGGTGCTGACCCAATGAGCACACCTGACCTTGACCCTGACTATGAAACACTAGATGAGGTCAAGAAAAAGTGCGCCACTGTGTATCCAGTCCAGACCAGCTCCCAGGATGGGGGGGACCAGGACAGTTTACACTCAGCTCGGCAGGTCAGTCCTTAGTTGTGTGGGTATCTCTCAGTCCTTAGTTGTGTGGGTATCTCTCAGTCCTTAGTTGTGTGGGTATCTCTCAGTCCTTAGTTGTGTGGGTATCTCTCAGTCCTTAGTTGTGTGGGTATCTCAGTCCTTAGTTGTGTGGGTATCTCAATCCTTAGTTGTGTGGGTGTCTGTTATCTCAGTCCTTAGTTGTGTGGGTATCTCAGTCCTTAGTTGTGTGGGTATCTCTCAGTCCTTAGTTGTGTGGGTATCTCTCAGTCCTTAGTTGTGTGGGTATCTCTCAGTCCTTAGTTGTGTGGGTATCTCTCAGTCCTTAGTTGTGTGGGTACTCTCAGTCCTTAGTTGTGTGGGTATCTCAGTCCTTAGTTGTGTGGGTATCTCTCAGTCCTTAGTTGTGTGGGTATCTCTCAGTCCTTAGTTGTGTGGGTATCTCAGTCCATAGTTGTGTGGGTATCTCAGTCCTTAGTTGTGTAGGTATCTCTCAGTCCTTAGTTGTGTGGGTATCTGTTATCTCAGTCCTTAGTTGTGTGGGTATCTCTCAGTCCTTAGTTGTGTGGGTATCTGTTATCTCAGTCCATAGTTGTGTGGGTATCTCAGTCCTTAGTTGTGTGGGTATCTCTCAGTCCTTAGTTGTGTGGGTATCTGTTATCTCAGTACTTAGTTTTGTGGGTATCTCTTAGTCCTTAGTTGTGTGGGTATCTGTTATCTCAGTCCTTAGTTGTGTGGGTATCTCTCAGTCCTTAGTTGTGTGGGTATCTGTTATCTCAGTCCTTAGTTGTGTGGGTATCTGTTATCTCAGTCCTTAGTTGTGTGGGTATCTCAGTCCTTAGTTGTGTGGGTATCTCAGTCCTTAGTTGTGTGGGTATCTCTCAGTCCTTAGTTGTGTGGTTATCTCAGTCCTTAGTTGTGTGGGTATCTGTTAACTCAGTCCTTAGTTGTGTGGGTATCTGTTATCTCAGTCCTTAGTTGTGTGGGTATCTCAGTCCTTAGTTGTGTGGGTATCTCAGTCCATAGTTGTGTGGGTATCTCAGTCCTTAGTTGTGTGGGTATCTCTCAGTCCTTAGTTGTGTGGGTATCTCAGTCCATAGTTGTGTGGGTATCTCAGTCCTTAGTTGTGTGGGTATCTCTCAGTCCTTAGTTGTGTGGGTATCTCTCAGTCCTTAGTTGTGTGGTTATCTCAGTCCTTAGTTGTGTGGGTATCTGTTAACTCAGTCCTTAGTTGTGTGGGTATCTGTTATCTCAGTCCTTAGTTGTGTGGGTATCTCAGTCCTTAGTTGTGTGGGTATCTCTCAGTCCTTAGTTGTGTGGGTATCTCTCAGTCCTTAGTTGTGTGGGTATCTCAGTCCATAGTTGTGTGGGTATCTCAGTCCTTAGTTGTGTGGGTATCTGTTAACTCAGTCCTTAAATGTGTGGGTATCTCTCAGTCCTTAGTTGTGTGGGTATCTCTCAGTCCTTAGTTGTGTGGGTATCTGTTATCTCAGTCCTTAGTTGTGTGGGTATCTCAGTCCTTAGTTGTGTGGGTATCTCAGTCCTTAGTTGTGTGGGTATCTCAGTCCATAGTTGTGTGGGTATCTCTCAGTCCTTAGTTGTGTGGGTATCTCTCAGTCCTTAGTTGTGTGGGTATCTCAGTCCTTAGTTGTGTGGGTATCTCAGTCCTTAGTTGTGTGGGTATCTCAGTCCATAGTTGTGTGGGTATCTCTCAGTCCTTAGTTGTGTGGGTATCTCTCAGTCCTTAGTTGTGTGGGTATCTCAGTCCTTAGTTGTGTGGGTATCTCTCAGTCCTTAGTTGTATAGAATCCCTGTAAAAAGAATGCAGCATAAAAAATGTATGTGATAAGCTTGAAAGATTTTCTTTTCCAGAGTGTACATGCTGAGGGCAGCCAATCAGACGGAGTTTCTTCCCCCTCCGCCTTGGCCCCATTGGCCGCCAGCATTGACTCCTCCCTGCCCCATGACCAGCCCCCACAGGAGGAGTGTATCTATGACAACCCTAATGTCATCCTGCGCAAGCAGTCGTGCCGTATGCTGCCAGGATCCAGCTCCCTACAGGTGCGTCGCAGCCCCGTCATGTCCGAGGCGCCAGTGGTCAAGTCTCCAGCAGAGGAGGAGCTGGTGGAGAAGCTGAGCTCCCTGCTGGCCCCGCCCCTGCCACTGCGCAACTACCAGAAAGATGAGATCAAGGGGGAGAGGATGAAAGCTGCCAGCACACGCCACTCGTGGGCGTCCCAGCCTGCCAGACATCTGGAGCTGATGGACAGCTCCTTCCACAGGGACTTGCTGCGACCTTCACCTTCACAGTCCTACCACAACATCCACAACATCCAGAAGATGGATGGGCCTGACACTACACCTGCGGACACGAGACCCCACCAGACAGGTCATGTGACCACCTCCTGTAGAGAACTGACTGACAGTGCACATTACGCAACCAATACACCTGCACCATCTCTAGTGCTGGGAGCACAGGTACCTGTACCAGGTGTACACATGGGTACAGGTGCACCAGGTGTACACATGGGTACAGGTGCACCAGGTGTACAGTTGGGTACAGGTGCACCAGGTGTACAGTCCAATGCTGGTGCAGTATCCATACTGTTAGACCATGTGCAGGAGACAGCACCAGCAGACCTAGGGGAGGGTGTGAGTGGACGTCTGGAAGGGTTTAGCCACAAGATGGCAGAACACATTCTAGAACAAGCAATAGAGCAGCGCCACACCCACCCTGGGCGTGTGGCTGAAGCTATGGAGCGCCACACCCACCCTGGGGGTGTGGCTGAAGCCATGGAGCGCCACACCCACCCTGGGGGTGTGGCTGAAGCTATGGAGCCACACCACATAGACAGCAGAAGAGCAACACAAAGTGTCAATAACAGCTTTTCTGGGACCAGATCTCCTGCAGAGTGTGAGGACATGACTGGTCAGTTTGGTGGGACGGACTCAAGACTGCAGAATGGATATGTTGAAGAAACCACAGAGGTCATGAGGTCAAACCCAGACCAGACCCTGCAAGAGCTTTACAAGTCCCAAGGAGCTCGACCTAAAGTTTGGCTACCTGCCGAGCACACAAAACACACAGAGAGAATCCACACTGGCAAGTTGGATGTACTGGCAGAAAGTATTAGAGATAGGATGGAAGAAGATCTGCCATCAAACAAGCCTAAAGAATGTGAAGACCTACATCAAAGCATTCCTTTCAAATGTGAAGATCTGCTTCAGACCTCCCCCTCCTATGATGAAGACCTGTGTCAAAGCTCCCCCTCGTATCATGATGGCATGTGTTCACCCAGCTCCCCCTCGTATCATGATGGCATGTGTTCACCCAGCTCCCCCTCGTATCATGATGGCATGTGTTCACCCAGCTCCCCCTCGTATCATGATGGCATGTGTTCACCCAGCTCCCCCTCGTATCATGATGGCATGTGTTCACCCAGCTCCCCCTCGTATCATGACGGCCTGTGTTCACCCAGCAGCCCAGACAGCGAGGAGCTAGATGACCTGAGGGTGCAGGAGACCGTGTATGTGGACTCTGAAGAAGAAAGCCACAATGTCCGCAAGGTGGTGACTCGAGAGCTGTGTGTGACGCAAGTGACCAAGCCGGTCATCTACGCCAACCCCCGTCTGCTGGAGAACGTCATCAGTGGACCCTTCAAGACAGAGACAGGTGTGGACGGGCAGTATTTTGTCAATGGTGTCTTCAAGTGGGGCAGGTACTACCACCACTACCTGCCAGACAGGCAAGCTGTTGAGGCCAAATTAAAAGGTTTCTTTCATTATGTGCGTGCCATGTTAATGAGCAGGTCAGAGTTGAAGGTCAAGGACAAGCTGGCTAGAGAGCAGCAGCTAGAGATGGACTCGCTGCAAGCAAAAATTGAAAAACGTCTGCGGGAGGTGCACGACTTCCCCACCTTCCAGGGGATTCGCATCCACCTGCTCAAGACTGAGGCACTGGACAACTGGGAACCAGAGATTCCTACCCCAGCTCTGACCAGCTCCAGAAGCAAGGAGAGAGCTGCCAAGGAAGCTGTGAGCGTGGAGCGTGTAGGTGGGCGCCAGAGCTGGCCTGAGGTGGAGCTGGTGGAGGACCTGCACTTTGATGAGAACCAGGCCAGTGTCTGCCCTGCTGGCTGCACCCACAAGCCCTGCCTCACCCTGACCAAACCTGCTGATGTCCTTCAGGACTTCATCAAGCTGAGCATGAGCCAGAGCATCACCTGTTCCAGGTGTGGCCCAGACCAGGACTCAGACTCTGAAGATGAAATGCTGACGGCAGAGACCTATGCCAAGACCGTGTGTCGCTCCACGTCTCACGGCTCACCCACCAAGGTCAACTACATCAACAACGCACATTTCTGCCGCGCATTCTATGGGGAACTGGCGTATTTGGCTCGCCTGAGAAGGCCAAGGCCATTAGAGAAAGAGCTGATAGTGCCAGGTCCAGACAGTGAGTGTGGGGGCTGTGAGAGCCACATCTCCTGGACCAACTGGTGCCACATGGATGCCCTGATGAAGAAGTTGGTGCCACACATCTCTCCACGCCTGGACTTCCAGTTCCTGCTCAAGACTTACGAGGAGTTCAAGTTTTTTATCTTGAAAGAGAGATCCAGAAATCTGGAGCACAAGGGCTGCTTCACCAAAGGAAATGTCTGCTGCAGGTTTGAGGAGCTGGTCTTCCTTAAGTTGATTCGCGATGAAGTGCGCTATTTTGCTCATGTGCTGAGCAGGTCAAAGGTCAGTGAGGCGCTGTTCCTGGAGGAGCGGGACGTGGCCTTCACCCTGCTGACCCTGCTCAAGCTGCTGCTGAGAAACATCCACAAGATCAAAAAGTCCCAGACCAGAGAGCCTGTGGCTGGAATCTTGGACAAGCCGGCGTCTCTGCTGGCTGCCAAAAGATGGATCCCGTTCCGTCACTCGTCGTATGAGCGCTGGATCTCCGAGAAACTTGAAGATCCTATTTGGGATGAGCAGAACTTTCATTTTGACAACTACACCAACTTTCGCACCACCACCAACTCGTACGCTCTCAAGAGTTGGAGGTCCCCTCAGGACTTTGTGCAGGACCCCAATGTCCTGGTCTCTTGTAGGACAGTGTTTGCTCACACAGATACACGCTCCATAGAGCTGGCGGGCATGAGAGCCAATGAAGGTAGGAGAACCTTTAAAGGTCACATGTCATAGGTCACACTAACTTAAGGTATGAGAACCTTTAAAGGTCACATGTCATAGGTCACACTAACTTAAGGTAGGAGAACCTTTAAAGGTCACATGTCATAGGTCACACTAACTTAAGGTCAGCTCTCAGATATTGATAGGTCACACTAACTTAAGGTAGGAGAACCTTTAAAGGTCACATGTCATAGGTCACACTAACTTGAGGTCAACTCTCAGATATTGATAGGTCACACTAACTTGAGGTCAACTCTCAGATATTGATAGGTCACATTAACTTGAGGTCAGCTCTCAGATATTGATAGGTCACATTAACTTGAGGTCAACTCTCAGATATTGATAGGTCACATTAACTTGAGGTCAACTCTCAGATATTGATAGGTCACATTAACTTGAGGTCAACTCTCAGATATTGATAGGTCACATTAACTTAAGGTCAACTCTCAGATATTGATAGGTCACATTATCTTGAGGTCAACTCTCTCAGATAGGTCACATTAACTTGAGGTCAGCTCTCAGATATTGATAGGTCACACTAACTTAAGGTAGGAGAACCTTTAAAGGTCACATGTCATAGGTCACACTAACTTGAGGTCAACTCTCAGATATTGATAGGTCACATTAACTTGAGGTCAACTCTCAGATATTGATAGGTCACATTAACTTGAGGTCAACTCTCAGATATTGATAGGTCACATTATCTTGAGGTCAACTCTCTCAGATAGGTCACATTAACTTGAGGTCAACTCTCAGATATTGATAGGTCACATTAACTTGAGGTCAACTCTCTCAGATATTGATCTTTCTCTGACATTATAATCTTACATGTTTGAAGAATTTTTGTCCTGTGGTTTTTCTCCATGTTTGACTGAATTTTTGTCCTGTGGTTTATCTCCATGTTTGACTGAATTTTTGTCCTGTGGTTTATCTCCAAGTTTGACTCAATTTTTGTCCTGTGGTTTTTCTCCAAGTTTGACTCAATTTTTGTCCTGTGGTTTTTCTCCATGTTTGACTCAATTTTTGTCCTGTGGTTTTTCTCCAAGTTTGACTCAATTTTTGTCCTGTGGTTTTTCTCCAAGTTTGACTGAATTTTTCAGAGCCCAAGCCACTGCAGGAGAGGGAAGATTTTCTGGAGAGTATGGAACAGCTTCAGCAGGTAGGTTTTGTGGTCTACAGCTGGTGTGTGTTGGTCTACAGCTGGTGTGTGTTGGTCTACAGCTGGTGTGTGTTGGTCTACAGCTGGTGTGTGTTGGTCTGTGGTCTATATCTGGTTTGTGTTGGGCTAGGGCTTGAGTGTGTTGGTTATGTTGTATACTTTTGTGGTTTTCGTTTAAGTTATATTTTGTGTCAGATCTTAAGGGTTTTTTTTTATATTTTTGTCATGTTTCTTAATTAATGTTTCGATTATATTATGTCATGTTTCTTGATGTTTTGATTTTATTTTTGTCATTTCTCTTGATGTTTTGATTTTATTTGTCATGTTTTTTGATGTTTGGATTTTATTTTTATTATGTTTCTTGATGTTTCTTTTTTTTCTTCCTGAACCAACAGCAAGACTGGTACTGGGGTCCTATCTCCTATGAACAAGCTGCCCTTGTGTTGAAGGACAAGGAGGACGGGTCCTTCCTGGTGCGGGACAGCTCAGACCAGAAGTATTTGCTGAGTATCAGCTTCAAGTCCCTGGGGGAGGTGCACCACACCCGCATAGAGCACGCCAAGGGTAAGCACAACATTCACGTGTAGCACCCAGCCAAGGGTAAGCACAACATTCACCTCTAGCAACCAGCCAGGGTAAGCACCCCATTCACCTGTAGCAACCACTTAAACAATTTTTCATACTTCCCCACAAATTGTAAGAATTCTTATCTTTTATTTTCCCAACAGAAGCATATTTTTTCAGCAAAAAAAATCTTTTCTTTTTTTTTTAAACTAAGTAATTATATTTCTTTAATAATAATTCATTTTATAAAAGTATGATTTGTGTTTTATGTATTCATTTATGATTAATTAAAGGTGTGGATGGGTGAAAAGGCATAGATCTTGAAAAACTGAGTGGAAATAATTCCAGTGAAACATGAAAATAATTACAGTGAAACATGAAAATAATTACAGGCTTACAGAGTTAATGGTTCACCCATATTTCAATGGGTACCACATATTTCAATGGTTACCCACATAAATATTTGAAGTGTTCCCCCAATATTTGAAGTGTTCCCCCAATATTTGAATGGTTCCCCCAATATTTGAATGGTTCCCCCAATATTTGAATGGTTCCCCCAATATTTGAATTGTTCCCCCAATATTTGAATGGTTCTCCCAATATTTGAATGGTTCCCCCAATATTTGAATGGTTCCCCCAATATTTGAATGGTTCCCCCAATATTTGAATGGTTCCCCCAATATTTGAATGGTTCCCCCAATATTTGAATGGTTCCCCCAATATTTGAATGGTTTCCCCAATATTTGAATGGTTCCCCCAATATTTGAAGTGTTCCCCAATATTTGAATGGTTCCCCCAATATTTGAATGGTTTCCCCAATATTTGAATGGTTCCCCCAATATTTGAAGTGTTCCCCAATATTTGAAGTGTTCCCCAATATTTGAATGGTTCCCCCAATATTTGAATGGTTTCCCCAATATTTGAATGGTTCTCCCAATATTTGAATGGTTCCCGCAATATTTGAAGTGTTCCCCCAATATTTGAATGGTTCCCCCAACATTTGAATGGTTCCCCCAATATTTGAAGTGTTCCCCCAATATTTGAAGTGTTCCCCCAATATTTGAATGGTTCCCCCAATATTTGAATGGTTCCCCCAATATTTGAATGGTTCCCCCAATATTTGAATGGTTCCCCCAACATTTGAATGGTTCCCCCAATATTTGAATGGTTCCCCCAATATTTGAATGGTTCCCCCAATAGTTGAATGGTTCCCCCAATAGTTGAATGGTTCCCCCAATATTTGAATGGTTCCCTAATATTTGAATGGTTCCCCCAATATTTGAATGGTTACCCCAATATTTGAATGGTTCCCCCAATATTTGAAGTGTTCCCCCAACATTTGAATGGTTCCCCCAACATTTGAATGGTTCCCCCAACATTTGAATGGTTCCCCCAATATTTGAATGGTTCCCCCAATATTTGAATGGTTCCCCAATATTTGAATGGTTTCCCCAATATTTGAAGTGTTCCCGCAATATTTGAAGTGTTCCCCAATATTTGAATGGTTCCCCCATTATTTGAATGGTTTCCCCAATATTTGAATGGTTCCCCAATATTTGAATGGTTCCCCCAATATTTGAATGGTTCCCCAATATTTGAATGGTTCCCCACAGGTCTGTTCAGCTTCTGGTCCCAGCCGGAGTCCCATGGTAAAGCTCGTATCTGTGAGTTCATTGACAAGTCCATCCAGAACTCCAGGGACGGCAGGTTCCTCTACTTCCTGCGACCCAGTGCCCGGGGTACCCCGCCCCTCCCCATACGGTTACTGCTGCCAGTCTCAAGAAACTTCCGGGTTGCCACCCTCAAGCATTTGTCAAGGTGAGTCATCTAGGTCACCACCACTTCCTGTCTGATCACCACTTCATGTCTGGTCACCACCACTTCCTGTCAGGTCACCACTTCATGTCTGGTCACCACCACTTCATGTCTGGTCACCACCACTTCCTGTCTGGTCACCACCACTTCCTGTCTGGTCACCACTTACTTGTCTGGTCACCACTTCATGTCTGGTCACCACCACTTCCTGTCTGGTCACCACCACTTCATGTCTGGTCACCACCACTTCCTGTCTGGTCACCACCACTTCCTGTCTGGTCACCACTTACTTGTCTGGTCACCACTTCATGTCTGGTCACCACCACTTCCTGTCTGGTCACCACCACTTCCTGTCTGGTCACCACCACTTCCTGTCTGGTCACCACCACTTCCTGTCTGGTCACCACCAACACCTGTCAGGTCACCACCACTACCTGTCAGGTCACCACCACTTCCTGTCAGGTCACCACCACTTCCTGTCTGGTCACCACCACTTCCTGTGTGGTCACCACCACTTCCTGTCAGGTCACCACCACTACCTGTCTGGTCACCACTTCATGTCTGGTCACCACCACTTCATGTCTGGTCACCGCTTCATGTCTGGTCACCACCACTTCCTGTCAGGTCACCACCACTTCCTTGTCTGGTCACCACTTCATGTCTGGTCACCACCACTACATGGCAGGTCACCACCACTTCCTGTCAGGTCACCACCACTTCCTGTCTGGTCACCACCAACACCTGTCAGGTCACCACCACTACCTGTCAGGTCACCACCACTTCCTGTCTGGTCACCACCACTTCCTGTCTGGTCACCACCACTACCTGTCTGGTCACCACTTCATGTCTGGTCACCACCACTTCATGTCTGGTCACCACTTCATGTCTGGTCACCACCACTTCCTGTCAGGTCACCACCACTTCCTTGTCTGGTCACCACTTCATGTCTGGTCACCACCACTTCATGTCTGGTCACCACCACTTCCTGTCTGGTCACCACCACTTCCTGTCTGGTCACCACCACTACCTGTCTGGTCACCACTTACCTGTCTGGTCACCACTTCATGTCTGGTCACCACCACTTCCTGTCTGGTCACCACCACTTCCTGTCTGGTCACCACCACTTCCTGTCAGGTCACCACCACTTCCTGTCTGGTCACCACCAACACCTGTCAGGTCACCACCACTACCTGTCAGGTCACCACCACTTCCTGTCAGGTCACCACCACTTCCTGTCTGGTCACCACCACTTCTTGTCAGGTCACCACCACTACCTGTCTGGTCACCACCACTTCCTGTCTGGTCACCACCACTTCCTGTCTAGTCACCACCACTTCCTGTCAGGTCACCACCACTACCTGCCAGGTCACCACCACTACCTGTCAGGTCACCACCACTACCTGCCAGGTCACCACCACTTCTTGTCAGGTCACCACCACTACCTGTCAGGTCACCACCACTTCCTGTATTGTCACCACCACTTCCTGTCTGGTCACCACCACTACCTGTCAGGTCACCACTGCTTCCTGTCTGGTCACCACCACTACCTGTCAGGTCACCACCACTTCCTGTCTAGTCACCACTTCCTGTCAGGTCACCACCACTTCCTGTATTGTCACCACCACTACCTGTCAGGTCACCACTGCTTCCTGTCAGGTCACCACCACTTCCTGTATTGTCACCACCACTTCCTGTCTGGTCACCACCACTACCTGTCACCTCACCACCACTTCCTGTCAGGTCACCACCACTACCTGTCTGGTCACCACCACTATCTGTCAGGTCACCACCACTACCTGTCAGGTCACCACCACTACCTGTCCATTCCCCAGGTTTGTTATCCGCCAGACTGTCAGACAGGATCACCTGGACTACCTGCCCATACCTGAGAAGGTCAAGCGCTACCTGAAAGACAAACACTACTACGTGGAGATAGTGGATGAGGACCAGTGGGCATTTGGTGGGGACTACAGCAAGTCATGAGTGGCCATCTTACAGCAAGTCATGAGTGGAGTGGCCATCTTACAGCAAGTCATGAGTGGAGTGGCCATCTTACAGCAAGTCATGAGTGGAGTGGCCATCTTACAGCAAGTCATGAGTGGAGTGGCCATCTTACAGCAAGTCATGAGTGGAGTGGCCATCTTACAGCAAGTCATGAGTGGAGTGGCCATCTTACAGCAAGTCATGAGTGGAGTGGCCATCTTACAGCAAGTCATGAGTGGAGTGGCCATCTTACAGCAAGTCATGAGTGGAGTGGCCATCTTACAGCAAGTCATGAGTGGAGTGGCCATCTTACAGCAAGTCATGAGTGGAGTGGCCATCTTACAGCAAGTCATGAGTGGAGTGGCCATCTTACAGCAAGTCATGAGTGGAGTGGCCATCTTACAGCAAGTCATGAGTGGAGTGGAAATATTCTGTGAAATCCATTTTAGCGTTCTCATATTTCTAATATTTATTAAACATTTCCCCACCCCTTGCCCCACCCCCACTATTTATTGGACAGTTCCCCCCCCCCCCCCCACATCTGTTGTGGACCAACACAGATATCCAATGGCTTGATGACATTTTTGATTGTCCTGAGTTGTGTTCCTTGGTTGTGCCATCACATTTTTATGTACATTATTCACAATATTTTATTGTAAATTATTCACAATATTTTACTGTAGGAACTCATTTTTTTAATCTGTGGTCAATTTTATTGTAGAGGTCACTGTGACTTATTGTAGAGGTCACTGACTGTTATTGTAGAGGTCACTGACTTTTATTGTAGAGGTCACTGTGACTTATTGTAGAGGTCACTGACTTTTATTGCAGAGGTCACTGTGACTTATTGTAGAGGTCACTGACTTTTATTGCAGAGGTCACTGTGACTTATTGTAGAGGTCACTGACTTTTATTGTCAAGGTCACTGTGACTTTTATTGTAGAGGTCACTGACTTTTATTGTAGAGGTCACAGTGACATTACTTGTTGTGTTGCTATATGCATCTTCCAGCTGAAAAAGTATTTTTATATTTTTATACAGTGTGAGTGTGTTGACATGAACTAAATTAAGAACACTATGCTGAATGTAGATGTTATGATGTACACTATACTTTATGTACATCTTACAATGTACACTATACTCTATGTACATGTCACTATACTCTATGTACATGTGACTATATGCTTTATCTGTACACATCAGTGTTGTCTATGCCTAAGTAGAATAAATCTTTTGATACATTTAAATGCTGGTTCAGTGAGGGCAGAAACCTAACCCTAATAATGCCCCCTGTGTTGAAGCCCAATGCCCCATATTTTATGTAGCTCAATGCCCTATGTGATGTAGTCCTACAGCCCCATGTGATGTAGCCCTACATCCCCATGTGATGTACCCCTATAGCCCCATGTGATGTAGTCCTACAGCCCCATGTGATGTAGTCCTACTGCCCCATGTGATGTAGCCCTATAGCCCCATCTATGTAGCCCTATAGCCCCATGTGATGTAGCCCTACATCCCCATGTGATGTAGCCCTACATCCCCATGTGATGTACCCCTATAGCCCCATGTGATGTAGCTCTACAGCCCCATGTGATGTAGTCCTACTGCCCCATGTGATGTAGCCCTATAGCCCCATGTGATGTAGCCCTACTGCCCCATCTGATGTAGCCCTATAGCCCCATGTGATGTAGCCCTACAGCCCCATGTGATGTAGCCCTACTGCCCCATGTGATGTAGCCCTACTGCCCCATCTGATGTAGTCCTACTGCCCCATGTGATGTAGCCCTATAGCCCCATGTGATGTAGCCCTACTGCCCCATCTGATGTAGCCCTATAGCCCCATGTGATGTAGCCCTACAGCCCCATGTGATGTAGCCCTACTGCCCCATGTGATGTAGCCCTACTGCCCCATCTGATGTACCCCTACAGCCCCATGTGATGTAGCCCTATAGCCCCATCTATGTAGCCCTATAGCCCCATGTGATGTAGCCCTATAGCCCCATCTGATATAGCTCTATAGCCCCATGTGGTGTAACCCTATTACCGATAGTGTATTGTGGCTGTTAGCTTATCTGCTCTGTAAAATTGGTGTTGTATTTTTTATATAGCTTACATGTTGTGTTGATATTTAGTTTTATAACTTGAGGCTTTTAATATAGCTTTCATGTTGTGCTGATGTTTAGTTTTATAACTAGAAGCTTTTAATACAAAGTAAACCACACTGGCAGCTAGACCCCTTAAATCTTGTGTAACCTCTGACCTTTAGTTGAGTTAGTTGTGCATGTGTGTTGGCTTGTGTGGACATGTGTGGTCACTGCTAGTGCTACATTCTGTGTGTGAGGGTGTGTGATGTTAGCAGAAGTGTGTGGGGTGTGATGTTAGAAGAAGTGTGGGGTGTGTGGTGATAGCAAGTGTTCTGTATGTGTGCTGCTGACATAATAAAGTAATATATACAGCTTTTACAACTTTGTTTAATAAACAAATAATTATTTTGTTTCAATTCTGCTTACTTCTTTTCATATATTAAATCAGTGGTTCTTAACCTTTAAATGTGCATTCACCAAACCCTTCTTAATCTTTTTTTTTTTGACAATAATTGTTTATTTAATGTCACAAATCCCATTGATTGACTCAAGTCATGTCCACCTTAGTGCTGCTGATCCCAATAATTGATGCTTTAGGGAAAATACAGTCTCAAAATCAAGTCATGTCCACCTTAGTGCTGCTTCTTCCTGAATGAACATCCTTCTGTTAGCCTTGCTTTGCCTCCAGTTGGCTGGCGTTAAACTGTGGAACATCCAACACACAAAACAACAGTCTGGGCATGTGGGAATACAGTTGTTATCGTGTTGCAGCCAGGACATTTAACATCCATAAAATAGCTGTTGGGACTCAGAACAAGCCTTTTAAGTTTGCATTTTCTCTTTTCTTCTAGAGAGGGATGTAACAGGTCCTTCGCTAAAGGCATGTTATCTGTCTAATACATAAAGTTCAATTCTGTGTGTATGTTCGTAAAGTGTTTGTTGTGGATTTCAAAGGAATATAAGAAAAAAATAATACCTCAATTGCGTCAAGTTTTTAATGTCTAAAGTGCTCATGCACTAAATTCATGATTTAAAAAAACATTCAACGTAACGTAAAACAGTTTTCATTGTTCAAACTTATAATAATAATTTCCGGCATATCCATTAAACAATTTTTTTCAAAATGTATCAACGTTCACAAAACTTCTAATTGTGTCTAAAAGTTATTTACATTTAGTCCTTTAGCGCTCATTACGCCCCTTGATAAATTAGGAAAACACCATTACTTCCCTTTATTAAATCATTACAGCGGGGAAAAAGAATGTACTTTTTATTACTTTGTTTTGGTGTTAGGAAAAAAAAATTTACATAATTAGCGGGGATTGATCAATTGCAATGTTGTAGGTATTTTAAATACTGCCTTTTAGTTATTTCATACACTGAACGTACTGTTTACTAATTTTTTTTAATCACAGACATTTGACGTAAAAAAGTTTTTTTATAAAAAACGTTTTAATAACAAGCTTTTATGTACTAATGCACTAAAAAGTGGAAAATAAATTATAGACAACTATTTAAATAACTATAAAGAAAAGCGTGGGTTACTTTAGAATGTATTGGATACTTTTACTAATGTTTAGGAAGAGATCCACGCTTTTCTTTATAGTTATTTAAATAGTAGTCTATAATTTATTTTCTATTTTTTAGTGCATTAGTATATAAAAGCTTGTTATTAAAACGTTTTTTATGAAAAAAAATTTTTAGTACTTTGGGGTCATCCATAAATGGGTCCACCCTTTTTTCATGATTTTACCTCCCCCCTCCCCTCCGTCACACGTCGTCACAAAAAGCCAGACCCCCCGCCCCTAAAATGACGTCACACCTCAGCCTACAACCCCCCCCCCCCTCAAAATTCCAGTTGTTTTTTTTTTAAACATCGATATGTCAAAATATAGTATTTTAATCAATTCCTATTATAACTTATTAAAACTGTTTTCTAAAATGCTAAATAACGTCTAAAATTCGTTTTCTAACATTTCTTATCTATAAAACAAAAGTGTGACGTCGCACCATCTGAGCCCCCCCCCCCCTCCCACTCATCACACATCGTCACAAAATTACCTCTCCCCTAAGAGTGTGACGTCATTTATGGACGACCCCTTTACATGATTTTATTTACAATAGAGTTTTATGACTAAAAACCATTGCGCGCCTATTGAAAGTGATGACGCGTGTGGAGTGGCTGGATAGAAATGACTACTAGATTGGTCAAAAATTTAATTAATTCATAAAAAATTAATAAGCCATCCAATTAAGTCAAATTTAATGTCACGATGCATTGTCTTTATGTCTTGACCAACGTACCAACTACGAACCGTATCTGTCAGTTAGAAGGGCCTGCAATTTCGCAAGGGCGTTTCGATCTAGATCTAGACAGACTGACGACAGACTGTCGACAGAGGAAGTGAGTTAAATAAAAGCTTGTAAAAACGTTTTAATAACAAGCTTTTATGTTCTAATGCACTAAAAAGTAGGAAATAAATTATAGACTACTATTTAAATAACTATAACGAATAAACCGGGAGTGATCTCCCCTAAACTTTCTCGAATATTCTTATATATAATAACAGGGGATGTGAACTCGGGCTATAGACATGATTTTTAATCCACTTTAAATACTTAAAGTTTTAAAAATAGAATAAAATCTCGTAGACAAAAGAATTGCACACCAAGTGAACGCCAAATTTAAAAAGTGCATAATAGTGCGCAATATTATTAGTACTTTAAAAATTTACATTAGTTTTTTGAGAAATCGGAAGTAGCGTAAATCAGCACTTCCGGTCAACGGAAATTACTCAAAATGTAACAGAAGGTAGAGAATTAGATCTTTTACTTACATGTGAAATTTCGTTTATCTATCTGAAATAGTACTTAAGTCATAGGCTTTTGAAAAATTCAAAGTAGGAAAAGTACCACTTCCGGTTATCGGAAATCGCTCAAAAGTTAATACGGATCTACGATTTTGATAAAATACTTATATATGAAATTTCATCAACCTAGCTGTAACGGTACTCAAGTAATCGTGTTTACACACGGACACACACACAGACAGACAGACAGACACACAGACATACGGACAAGATTGCAAAATTATGTTTTTCCGTATCAGTGAGGTGTAAAACGTCGAGATTTGTAAAAATCTCGATTTTTTTTTTTTTTGCAGCAATTACATGACTTTCTCTATACTTCGTATATATGAGAAAGTAAAAACGTGGGTCTCTTCCTAAACATTAATAAAGGTTTCCAATACATTCTAAAGTAACCCACGCTTTTCTTTATAGTTATTTAAATAGTAGTACATAATTTATTTTCTACTTTTTAGTGCATCTATCTATCTATCTATCTATATATATATATATATATATATATATATATATATATATATATATATATATATATATATATATATATATATATATATATATATATATAAAGCTAAGTTGTCGGGTGCCCTATAGCGACACTTCCCGGCGCCGCAGGCGCATCAAATTTGGCATGAGTCTGCCTTGGGGAAATAGAACACGAGAGCCGGTGCCGGTTGGCCAACAAGTCAACGTAGAGGGGGTCAAAACTGACCGGCGCCTTATATGGTCTATATTACGAAAAAAAATTTGCCCAACGACCCCCCTTGATATTTTGTGAGGTGGTAGGAGAACGCCTAGGGGTGTCACAAAAAACTCGCCATGTCCGGGAACAATCTAGAAATGGGTCAAAACTGACCAGTCGTATTTCCCTATATAATCTTTGTATTTTATGGGAACAACAGAGTAATTTCAACACAAATTTTAAGGTATATCTGGCTATTTTTTTTGCATACACCTCTATAGATGAATAGGCCGTATGGAAAAACTGTTGGTCAGACTCAAAGCCCTCAAATATATATATATAAATAAATTGACGATCCCCCTAATATTTTGTGAGGTCGTAGACCGACCCTGGAGAGTAAAAAAAAAACATTATTCCCGTCGGAAAAAAAAACCGTTAGAAACGTTTGATTTGTCCATATGGCGTATTTTCCCTATATCAACAACTGTTTGTGAAAAAGTAATTATTGAAGACTATGTCATTTGGTCTATGAACAGGGGAGGTAACTTTTTAATGTAATAATTTTTAAATATTTTGTATACTATTTTTAAGAAAAACAAAAATCATAAAGTATAGCATTCTTTTAAATAGTTATTTGGTTATAAATTAAGTTTGCATTGTACTGAAATTGTAAAAATTAATTGCGAAAGTAATTTAATATAATATTTGATTGATAGTATCCTCGCAGTTCTAATAACCTTGCGAGTAATAAGTTTGCGAACATTCCATCAATGTTTGAATGACATGAAATTACTCAACCGTATTTGTCTTTTTTTGCGCAATCGTTTTTTTTCTGTTTTTTTTTTTTTGCGTACGAAGGGGAACTCGTTTTGGTCGGTCGCACCAGAAAGCTCTTTTATAGACACCTGCACCAAACTACAAGAAGATATAACATCTATCTATATACTACTAAAAGTCAAGTTTGTTTACATGTTTGATCATTTATTTGTTTTTTTTTTTTTTTTTTTTTTTTTTGTTTGGCTGATTGACTATTGTACATGGTTGCACTCATCGTGGAGAGCTGTAAAATAGTATGTAGGTAGAGAAAAAATTTTGTTTTAAGACAGACTGTTAATCACACATTTATTTAAAGACGTTAATTAATTTATTGATTTATTCATAGGTAGATTAACCCTATTTTTTAAAAAGATTAGAACTACCACTACACTCGGCGGGACCGTGACGTCACAGTTTTTTGTTTACTCTTTAGTACAATAAAATGGCGGCGTCTATCGAAGAAAATTGTGTTCCCATTCAAAAGTTTAACGCGTTCTAAATCTAATTTTCTGTCGGTCATAACTTTAAAAATACGTCCGTTTGCTGTATTTATTACGTTCCAACACTTATATCAATTTTCAACTGTCTTTTTCATTTAGTTTTACGATAAATTTCTCTAGAACTACAATCTGTCCAAGAAAGTTATTTATAGATCTAGATCTAGAATCTAGAATCTATGTCAAATCAAAGATTTATTAGTTATAAATACAATCCAAAAAAAAAACGAGACTTAAGCAAACCAGTCGTAGATCTAGAAAATAGATAATTCTATCTAGATTTAGATAATAAAGAGTTTCTATATACTAAAATATTTTAGACCTTTATTATTTTGTATAAATCTTTGTTTGGAATATGGTAATTTTGAAATGCTGTATACAGGGCCTATTGGCGTAGCTTAAGATTCATACGCGGCTTCGATGCCGGTAATTTTGCTAAATTATAAACGTAAATTCTAAATATAGCTCAGTCGTAGATCTAAAATATAGATAATTTTCTATCTAGATTTAGTTAATAATGATTTTCTATATACTAAACTATTTTAGACCTTTATTATTTTATATAAATCTTTGTTTGGAATATGGTAATTTTGAAATGCTGTCTCCGGGCCTATTAGCGTAGCTAATGATTAGATCTAGATCTAGATTCTAGATCTAGCAAGAAAAACTAAACTTAAGACTTAAGCAATCGAGTCGTAGAATCTAGATCTAGATAATTCTATCTAGATCTAGATAATTTCAGACCTTCTTTATTTTATATAAATCTTTGTTTGGCTAATTTAAGATAAAATTTAATTTGAAAGTCACTGCTACTAGACTTAGTTCTAGATCTATGCGCGTAAATCAAGTTGCATAAGGAGACTCAAAGTATAGTATAAAAATTCACTTGTGACGTCACGAGTGAATAGCTAAGTTGGTAGTGTAGTCGGCTCTCATGCGGGTGGCACAGGTTCTAGACCAATATGTCAATGATATTTTTTTTTCAATTTTTTTTTTAGATGTGAATGATAAAGTTGCCTATCTGAACTTGGCAGGATACAGGGCAGGTGAAGTAGAGTTCATCTGTTTCTTTGTCCTAAGCATATGAAAAGATAGTGTGGTCAGAGACATGCTCGGCTGGAATCGTTTTTTAAACGATAAAAACATTTTGTCTGAGACTTGGGCGGGACACTGGGCAGGTGAAGTAGAGTTGAGTAGGTCACCTGTGACGTCAGTATATGAAGGGATAGTCCGAAATCGGTGTTTTCGGTGTTTTTAAAAGATAAAAAACATATTTTGGAATGTGGGGTCTGTTTTTTGTGATGATAAGTGACACTGCAGTAGCGTAGCGAGGAGGGGGGGGGGAACATATGTCCCCGGGCGCCGACCTTAGGGGGCGCCAAAATGGGTTGGAAAAATAAATTGAAAGGTTGAGGAGGGTGCAAATCGAAAGTTTGAGTGGGGGGGGGTTCAAATCGAAGTCTTGTGGGGGGGGGCACATCAAAAGTTTGGGGGGGGGGTTGCAAATCGAAATCCTGTGGGGGGGGGGGGGTTCAAATCGAAAAGTTTGTCCACGGGCGCCGGGAAGGGTTGCTATGCCTCTGAGTGACAGACGTGATGTTTTTTTATGGATGACCCCCGAAACCCACAGTTATCCAAGGGATGACGGGTAGTCTAGTTTTATATAAAACTAGCCGTCCCGGGTTGTGTTGTGTTTATGTTGTGTTGTGTTTCTGTGGTGTTTCTGTTGTGTTTGTGTTTTCTTTTGCTCTTTTCTTAAGTTGGTACATTTATTGCTAGTAGGGAAATAAGATATGATCAGTAGTGGAAGTAGTAATCAAGGCCTACCGGCAAAAGTAAACTTTATCTTGTATCTGTCTAGAATAATTCCAAATTTTTCCAATCACTTATGTATGTAAATTGTAATCGTTTAAGGTTTGACATCATCGTTAAGACTCTGGTTAGTAAATATAGATGCTTATGACATCTATCTTCTATCTACATACTACTAAAACTCAAGTTTGTTTACATGTTTGTATAACTATTTGTTGTTGTTGTTTTTTTTGTCTGTTTGATTACAGGAGAGAATCTGCACTATGTGTAGAGATGTAAAATACGTTTTTAGGTAGAGAATGATGTTCTTTTTGACCAAACTGGTAATTACCGAAGCTAGTTTGTAATTAGAACAAAACTTCGAAAAAGAATTCAATGGAAGGGGGTGCCTTGGGCGCTAAATAACCTGGCGCTGGCACTGGTCATAATGTTACAGTGTGTAGTATATTAAAAAGTAGTTCTTTAAAAATATACTGATGATATAGCATGGAACCGACTTGCAGAGGCGTAGCTAGGGGTGGGCTGGTGGGGGGGGGGGCGTCCATGGCACCGACATTAAGGGGCACTAAATGAGATAGAAAAAACAACAACTCCTTTTAAGCTGTTTTATTAAATTATACACATAGGAAGTTATGGAAAATAGACATTTACTCGGTTTACGGACTTATTTAACTTTTTTTTTCTATATCAAATGTGTGAGACCAACAATATCAAATGTGTGAGACCAACATAAATGTGAATAACTATACAAACTGTGGAGAGGCATAACGTAATTAGTTCGCCCCGGGCGCCGGAATAGGTCGATGCACCTCTGCCGGAATAGATCCATAATGCCCCCTCCCCAGGGAACATTGTGGTAAAACCACGTGAGCAAGGCTGACATAGTCCACGCCCCACCAAGGTGCCAGAAACTCGAGATTTAAAACTTTGGTTTTCTTCAACCCAAAATCCTTTTTACGCCCACAGATTTTTAATGTCCACGGGACCTGGCAATTACCCCACTGCCAGGAAGACTATATTCCACACAGCAAATAAACTTATATTGTAATCTTATATCATACACTTATATCATAATCGTATATTATAAACTCATATCATAAACTTATATCACAAAGATGGTTAATTCTCCAACATCTGCCAACATAGCACATTCTTCAGCATCTAGCCACTATAACATATTCCCCTATGTTTAGCCAGTAATGACTTTTACCTTTGTTCGTGTATCAATAGTTTTCCTCGGCTATTAATTGAGCGTGTCGTAGGTTAAAGATTGGCCTATGCGAGCCAGCCAAGGAAATTGTATTTGAGGATTAAGTTTTGAGCTCCGACAATTTCTTCAAGGGAAATGTACAGCTGCGGCTTATTGCGCCAATACAACAATTTCAACTCCAGCTGTTTCGTGCTTTTATAATACTTTATTGAGCTTTTTCCAAGTGTATGTGACAATTTTTAGCATATTAATCCTCGATGAAATCTGATATCAGCGGCGTTGGGAAGAGATGTTAGGGGTAGAACCCTCACACGCCATCAACCCACCCGATCGTCCCCCTAAGCGAATGGTTTTTCGTTTCAGTTCACAGTTTCTTCCAGGCATCTCCTCGGGCGGAGCCCCCCCCCCCCCCCCGAACGAAACGGAATTTATATTGAAAACATATACTTTTACCAGTGTCCACCCCTCCCCCGGAAAATTGTTGACCTCCCCTCCGAAAATATCAAGTGCCCCCCCCCCCCCCCTGGAGAAAAAAGTCTGGAAGAAACACTGTTTCAGTTAGAGCTGCTACTGGAATAAAATAAGCATTTATGTATATACATACAAGTTGCCGAGAAAGATATAATAAAAGACGAATACGGCGTGAATTATTTATTCAGGGTCAATAAACTGTAAAACGGTCAATGAGAAAGTTGAAAGCCACAAATATACCAAGTAAATCTAATGCGACGTGTCGGGTCTGTAATTTCGACAGTAACAAAAAGGTTTTCGTGTGGCCTCCAGCTCGCAGTCGGCCTGGGCCCCGTACATTGTCAGCCGCTCTATGGTGTCTCCCACCTGCAGCAACAGACCTCCCTTCTTGGACTGGCTGAAGAAGGCGTTGATGTAGGCATTGTCTTTGTTCGAGGTTTGAATCGTCGCTTCAAAGATGGCGTCGCCTGGCGTAGTCTGAACTTTGACCTTAAACAAGCGCTTGTCGTAGTCGACCGAGACTGTCGGGAGTTTGATGTTGACCACTTGCAGAACTGACCTCAGTGACAGCTCGTGGCAGATGCTGGCGTTTCTCTTCCAGTTGATCGAGTTAAGGACGAGCTGAGCGAAGCCTAGAGCCAGACTGGAGTTTGTAGGTAGCTGCTCCATCTGTTGCTGGTTGCAGACACAGAACTCCACGGGGATCGGCACGTCATCGCACGTGCGGTTCAGCGGGATTTCCTGGAACAGACTTATGCCATGTTTTCCTGGGGTGAAGGGGCGGACACCGCTGGCCTTGAAGTAGAGCAGGTCCTGGAGAGTTGCGTGGGTGTCAAAGTGCGAGGTCAGGCGGCCAGTGTTGGTCTTCAGGTTCTGCGCCACATCCGGGTATTTGTCCAGGAACCACTGGGGGAAGGTGAAGATGGCGTAAGGTGTTCGGCTTTCTACCATCCCATTCATGCTGGCCCTGATGGCGCCCCATCTCGGCCCGTGGTCAGAGAAGGTCAGCAGCAGTGTGTTGTTCAGGTGACCTTTTTGCTGCAGGGACCTGTAGAACCTGTACATGTGCTCGTCTGCTAGCACCGAGTCCGTCATGAAACTGTGCGTCAACTTGGTGTGGAACTGCATGGCGAACACCGGCCGACCTTTGAACTTGTCTAGAAACCTTTCGATGTAGTTGAAGTTGAAGACAAGTTCCGGTGTGTTACCGACGCAGTGCTTGCCGGGAGAAAAGAGTTCCTCGTCCTGCTCCATGGCCACGCTGATGGGATGGCTGTAGTGCACAACCGGCGCCCGCAGAAAACCTTTCTGCATGAAATGGAAGGCTGCGATGATGGGCTGGTCCTCGGCGAACAGCGTCCTGTAGCCCGCGCGGTTGAAATCTTCCCAGAGCAGGTCGAACGAGTCGGAGAACTGTCGGAAGTCCCACCACTTGAAGATGTCCAGCTTGCTGTGGCCGGTCAGCAGGGAGATGAAGTTGGGAAACGTGTTCGTGCCGGACTGAGTGTGCATGCGCATGTCGTATGACGTCAGCTCGTCCAGTAGAAGTGTCCGCGTGCGGTTCATAGAACGCAGGAACTGGTGCCGGGACAGGCCGTCAAGTCCGATCATGACGACGTTCAGCGTCTCGCGGGGCCGGGCCTGGACCTGCCGCTTCTTCAGTCGGACAGCCTCGATCTCGCCAATGTCCGGGAAGTCTGGCACCAGTGCGTGGTAGGTCTTGGACACGTTCTCTCGCGAGCTGTTCTCACACACGCACAAGATGAACTCGGCGGACCGACTGAGGTCAATGAACTCCGTGAAGGTGGGGCTCCAGGCGCCGAATGTGACGTTCTTGTCGCTGTCAGGGTGCCGGTAGATGGGGCGGTACCTGCACCCCGTCAAGTTGGGCGTCAACTCAGCCAGAGTTTTGTTGACCATCAGCCTGGTGCCTGTGACGTATGTCAGGTCAGGGGCGTAACCCGGACACTGGAGCGTGCCTTTCTCCAGCCCGGCTATCTTTAGAATACTCGGGTCGAACGGGTCAAGGTCAGGGAATACACAGGCCTGGGTCTGACGTGTGGTGTGAACCAGGGCCTTGTCAGGTAGCCGGTGCCGGTCGACCCCATGGAGCGACAAATGCCGGTCTATGATGAGGACAAACACCCCGACACCCAGGAGACACCAGAACAGTTTTGGTACCGACACGACGCGAGGACAGTCTGAAATTTAAATTAATTTCTTGTACAAACATAGGCCACGAGTAGAGGAAAACAAAATAACAATTTACACGTAAAGAGACAACTTACTAATAATTTACCAGTAAACAGTTTGTTTCGTTTATTTTTGGTTTAGCCTTAAATGAAAAGACGTCACTATAAGTCCGGTGAAAGCTTTTAATATTTGTTAAAATAAAGCGTTTGTTCTGAATTTTTATACTTAAAGGTGCGTCTATACAAATGAATAGGCCTAAATATCAACAAATTAATTTACGTCGTAAAGTTAAATTGTGTGCAACATTTGGAGAAAACATAAATGTTTTCACAGCATAAATACTAATTTTACAGTTCTAACAAAACAGACAAACAAACAATATATATATATATATATATATATATATATATATATATATATATATATATATATATATATATATATATATATATATATATATATACATAAACTTGTAAAGAACTTGAATTTTAGTAGTGTATATATAGATAGATAGAAGATAGCTAGATCTATTATATAAGCCGCTAAGTAGGATGTCGTTCACCTATCGGTATAGTATTCGTCAAATCTGGAGAATGTTGTTGTTTTTTTTTTTAATAGAAATCCTGCTTTGCTTGATTTAGAATCTATAATAATAGTTTCGCTGTCTGTCTGTGTATCTATCTGTCTATCTATGTATCTATCTGACAAGAACGCTATACTATAGAGAAAACACAAGCAGGGTAAAAACTTTCATAGTAAAACGAAAACGAAACATGACGTCACATGGATCATATAGAAGAAATAGTCTAAAGTCGGCTATAGAGAAAACACAAGCAGAATAAAAACTTTCATAGTAAAATGAAAACGAAACGTGACGTCACATGGGGCATATAGTAGGAAATAGTCTAAAGCCGGGGAAGTGCACACAATAATATGACGTCATTGATTTTCGAGTAAACATTGAATAAAAGCCAATTGTGTGTAATCTTATAAGTGGCTAATCTTAGAAGCGGTTTGCGTGCAGAGTTTCTTTCATGCAATTTTTCGGGTAAGGACGAAGCCCCACCTCCGCGTAAGAACGAAGCTTATAAGCATTTTGCGTGTAGAGTTTCTTTCATGCAATTCTTCGAGTAGTGTCTATGCGCGACACCAGTTATTTTTTCAGACTTTTTCCTCCCCGGAGGAAGGAACTTTTTCTAATCTAAAAAGTGTTTTGCGTGCACAGTCCCTTTACCCACCCCCCACACGGTAGACGTCTATCCCCCCCCCCCCCCCAAAAAGGCGTAATATAATTTATATAGAAGGTATATTCTTTTACCAGTGTCCTCCCCTGACCTGTCGAAATTTATTCGCTCCTCCAAAAATTCAAGTGCCCCACCCCCAGAGTTTCTTCCAGGCATCTCTTGTGGGGGGGGGGGGGAGGAGCTCCGCCCCCCCGCCCCCCGAGAAAAGTCTACCGCCCTCTACCCCCCCCCCCCCCCCCCCCCACACCGAACGAAATGAAATTTATATAGAAAATATATACTTTTAACAGTGTCCGGCCCCCCCCCCCCGAAGAAAGCCTTCCACCCCCAAAAATTTCAAGTGCCCCCCCCCCCCCAGAGAAAAAAGTCTGAAAGAAACACTGCCCACCCCCGGAAACGAACACTGTCAGCGTGAGTAAAATTTATCGGTCGAAAGTAGGAAACATGTCTACATTATAGAAGTAGGCTCTACCTTTAGTTTAAATCAGATACAAATTCGACCAGTGTTATTCCTCCCCAGGGCAGTGGGGTTCTTGAAATTTTCGGGGGTTAGGGTGGACTAAATTTTTTGGAAAGTGGCGGACACAGATAAAAATGTTTTGTATCAAAAGTATTTTTCGTTTAATTGGACGGTAAACGTGCTTTAGGGTGTGTGTTGGGGGGGGGGGGGGGTCACGGGCGCCCCCCCCCCCCCCCACTAAATGCGACATAATATATCGTGTTTCAGAAATAGGTGCAAGGTTTAGGGGCATGACTTCGACTATGTTTAGTATCAATATACAGTAACTACGCGTAGATCAAGCTTAATTCCGATTATAATGCAGATTCTGGTCAGAAATCCGATGACATTCAATGACATTTTTCGTTTCCGATTAAAATTAAAGCTGAGGTGGTGATTTTATTTTAGTTTCGATTTAGAGGAAAACACAACACTATCAACCAAGCGACCGTTGTATCTCTCCCTCAATGGGCCATTTATCTCGTTTTTAAGATTAGTTTAGCATATTTCGGCCTGCTAAAATTTGTGAGATGAAAAAAATATCAGAGTTGAGAACTTACTTTTAACGCCACGAAACATTCTGCTGGCTGGGAGTGCTTGCAGGGGACGATCTCAGAGTCTTTAGCACGTGACTTAAGGTTGTCAAAACGTGACTTTACACCCAATATGACTTGGTCTGTTATGACTAGATACAAGTCATGACCGTCAGTGTTTGCAGAAGAGTCGGACTGATCCCCCCCCCCCCATCCCACCCCGTCCAACAATGGTGTCTTAACCAGCTCGCATCAGCTGCTGACAGATTAAGGGATTAAGAGATTAACCAAATAAATAATGGTACAAAAACACTTTAGGAATCTTTAAGCGTTTTTCATCTCTTAAATAAACAGTAAACAAAAAAATAAAAACATATCATTCGTTTTTCGAAATTTGAGATATAGTTTAAATTGTAATCAATACATATTCATTATGGTCGAACTATTTAGATGGCAAATATTAGATCTATCATCGTATGCAGTGGCGTAAGCAGGGGGAGGGGGTAGGGGGGATTGCAACCCCCTTCACCCCCCCCCCCCCCCCCCCATGTACCCCTTTGTAAAAAAAAATTACTGTCATAATACCACTGTTACTTATTTAAATCTATTTCTGAATGAGTATATATGTATAATTGTATATGTATGTTTAGAACAGTAATCTAAAACTGACGGTATGTTCACTCTGAGTAGGTTATCCCACCCCCCACCACCACCTCACTACCTAAAACGGGACAGGCTGTAATTGTGTAGAGCGACATTTATGTCACACCTAGGTATACACTGGGTTGGATAATTGACTTAAAGTGACCGGACAGTAGTGAATGAAGTTGACCCCCCCCCCCCCGAACTGTTCTGTTAAGTACATTTGGGAAAACGCATAATGAGGTAACAAAGTACCATGCCGAAAGAATAGGCAGTGATGGATTATTGTATTTTCAAAGGCATTATACCAAAGATAATACGTTTGAACATTTTTTCCTCACTGTTTTAATCTGTCTATATGGCGCCACCAGGTGTGTTTGATGGCTTCCAGAACGTTAACATAGTTGGTTAATTTATGGGATACCCTGAGTATGACATCTCATAGTTTGCGGATTTTTTTGGGGCAGACAATAGAAACTAGGGCACGCAACAGGGGGTGGGGCAGACAACAGGTAGTGGGGCAGACTTTAGGGGTGGAGCAGACTTTGGGGGTGGGGTAGACAAAGTCGTCGCTATATTTCTTAAAACGTTGTTGGGTCGCGGGTTTGTCCACACTACAGGGGACACCAGCGGACGCACAAGATTCAATTTAGTCAACGATTATAGTAGTACATATTGACTCTAGTATGTGGCACGCTTTAAAACGAACATAGGTGCTACAATACTCACAGGGGAACCCGGGGTGCTCTGGGTCACCAGACTGCCTCTGTCGCAGTTTGACATTAGCATCAAGTAGAACCCTTACAGCTAGTCTATTGGACTCCATGTGTTCAGGTACTCGTTGGGAAACTCAAGGTGCCAATCCTAAAACTACTGCCAGGGCGCCGGATGACGACGCTGGTTTATGTAGGTGACGCAACTCGTTAGCGTGACTAGTGGTACATTTTTAGCTGCGTGAAATTGACACAACCTATCGTAGAAGCCTTCCCATGGCTATTCTTACCAACTTCCCAAAGTTTCATGGCAGTTTTAAAATCGAAAACTTTTGGCTAATCCGCTAAAAAAAGTTGAGGGACTTGTTCCACTGAGACAAGCAATTGGATAATGTGATGTTACATCACTGCTATACACCAATGTAAGGGCTACATTGTTCGTTAGAAACCTAGTGCTTGACTGGAGGATAAACCTTTAGACCATTTAGAGCAAGAAAGGTGAACTAAATCTATGTGAAACATGTGGAGCTGCTGGGCGTCGTCTGGTACCTCAGCTACCAAGTTGTTTACTGGTCCAGGTCATCAACGTACATTTCTTCAGTCATTCACTGTAGGTCATGTAAGTCATGTGCTTTAAGTCACCATCAGTCAGTGTACGCATATTATGCTGTGATGATTTGATCAATAAAAGCTGTTATGAAGGATGTTGATCCGGTATCTGCAAACTTTGGCGTATATTTTAAGCTTGAAAATCTGGGCCAAGAAGATCAGCTTGTATCGACACATGTGACCAGATCAAGCGCGAGAATTCTTTGTGTGACGTCAACAAGTGTAAATCTGTCAGGTTTTAATTTTTAAAAATTAGGTGTGTCACATATCTTTATAAACCTACAGGTTTGTCACATATCTTTGTAAACCTACAGGCGTGCCAAATGTCTATCTTGTTGTCCTCAGATTTTTGGGGTAAAGGTTAAAGTTCCCATTTGGACAAAATTTGGAATGTCGTAAGGCTCCTGTATAGACAGACAAAGACAGACTTATCATGTATTAAATCCTAGAGCTCATATTTGTCCTACTTCTAAGTATACAGAGATTTCGCTCAAACATTCGCTCGTGAAATCTCTAACCCATTTTAGCGAGCAATGGTTTTACCAAAGAAAGCAAGTTTGTCTTCATTTCTTGACTATGTTCATTTAAATTTTTAAAAGCTTACTATCAAGGAAATTATTTATATTGAAAAAATTTTGTCTCCACACCGTCTACTTGTGCAAACCTTGTTCTTCAATATTTTTAACACCTGAGATTGTTGCATTTAAGACCTGAGATTTTTGCATTTAACACCTGAGGTTGTTGCCTTTAACACCTGAGGTTGTTGCCTTTAACACCTGAGATTGTTGCATTTAACACCTGATATTGTTGCGTTTAACACCCGATATTGTTGGGTTTAATACATGAGGTTGTTGCATTTAACACCTTAGATTGTTGCATTATTAAAGTTATGTTCTGTTTGTCCACCTGACAGAAAAACCCAGGCAACAAATAAATAAATTAGGTCAAATATGCAACCGTAGCTTTAAAATTCTCAACTCAATTTACAAAGAAAGGCACCCACTTTGTTTTCCTCCAATACTTTCACAAATAAAGGTTTTCATTTCGTACCTTCACTTTAATTCAATTGTAAATTCTTTTCTTAAAAACCTGACAACTAAGACTGCGCTTGATCCAACTACGTCGGTTCTGAAATGAGGGCCACAACTTCGTCGATTGTATGCTGTCAAAATATTCCGTTGGCTGTTTGGATCTTGAATAGACTTCACTAGACGACTCAGTTTCCAGTTCGGAAACGGTCTGTCTGCCACACATCACTGCACAACAGGGGCTGCCAGACACCGTTATGCAAGGGGGTGGGGGGGGGGGCGCCGACGTCGACGTCCTTAGCTTATATAAATACTGGCTGCATACCTGTGCTCCGCCAAGGTGATTATTTTTTTAAGTGTACCAACTTGGGTACAGAAAAAACTAAACACAAACACACAAAAAAACATAAACACAACACAAACACAAAAGAAAAAACACAACGCAAGCAAAAACACACCACACAAACACAAAAGAAAACAACACAACACAAACGAAAGCACAAACGCAAAAAAAACAAAAACACAAACGAAAACTACTACAAATACCCAAGCTTGTCCGCGAACCGAAAAATAGATGTAAGCATAGAGGACATTTGTGAGTGGCTTCTAAACTGTTATTGATTAAAAATAATATTCATAAACAGTACGCTCAGTGAATAAAATAAATAAAGGCAGTGTTTAAAATATCCGTGTTTTACCTACCATATTAACGTTTTTCAATCCTTGACAATTATATTATTCCAACAATAATTAGCTCTTGGACATCCGCAGAATTCGGAATCACATTTTTACTTTCTTGTGCAAAATATTTTTTTAAAATCGAGATATTTGGAAATCTCGTCGTTTTACACCTCCCTGGGTTGGAAAAACACAGTTTGCAATCTTGTCCGTATGTCAATGCGTGTGTAAGTGTGTCTGTGTCTGTAAACACGATAACTTGAGTACCGCTACAGCTAGGTTAATTAAATTTCATATATAAGTATTATATCAAAATCGTAGATCCGTATCAACTTTTCAGCGATTTCCGATAACCGGAAGTGGAACTTTTTCTACTTTGAATTTTTCAAAAGCCTATAACTTGAGTACTATTATAGATCGATAAATGAAATTTCTAATATAAGTAAAAGATCTAATTCTCTGCCTTCTGTCAAATGTTGAGTAATTTCCATCAACCGGATTTAGTAATTTTCGCTATTTCCGATTTCTCAAAAAACGCATGTGAATTTATAAGGTAGGCTACTAATACTATTCCACATTATTATACACATTTTGTTTTGCGTTCACTTGGTGTGCAATTCTTTTTTCTACGAGATTGTATTCTATTTTAAGTAATTAAAAGTGGATTAAAAATCATGTCTATTTCCCGAGTTGCCATCCCCTGTTGTTTTATATAAGAATATTCGAGAAAGTTTAGTGGAGATCACTCCCGGTTTACTTTTATTAGCGTGAGTTTAATTTATTATTAAATTACCTCCCCTGGCATAACTATTAAAAGATTTTAATTAATTAGATTTTTCGACCCTACTGTTATAAAAATGTATCCACTTTTTCTAAGAATCTAAACGAAAATGATATTTGACATTGATCCGTTTAATTTGCTTTAGCAATGTGCCTGTATTTAGTATTTTTTTCACGTTATTCGAAAGTTTTAAAACTGTGGCAACTATAAAATAAATTTAAGTCGTAATATACGCAAACTCTACTCTAATTCTTATAATAAGACAATGCGATGCAATGTAAAAGCACTGCATGGTGCGATGTTTACTTTTATGGTTCCAAAATCTATAGCGATGACTGACGGACGGAACGACGCACTACCATCAGCGTTATATTATAGACTAGCTGCATACCCGTGCTCCGCCACGGTCAATTTTTAAATGTACCAACTTGGAACAGAACAAAACTAAACACAAACGAAAATACAAACACAACATAAACACAATGCAAACACAAACGCAAAAACAAACACAATGCAAACGCTAAAAATAAACATAAATGCAAACATAAACACATAGTGCTCACAGTCTAGCCCGGGTTGCTAAATTGCACCCGGCCGGGTCGCCGGCGGAACCGCCTGATTCAACTTAGTAAACGACTATAATACCCCAACTTATCCATAAAATAAACAAAAGGCAATATTTAAAATATCCGTGTTGTACCGACCACGGTGCTTTTATCAATCCATGCTAATTATAATATTCTAACAATAATGTCCTCTTACACGCCCGCAGAATTTGCATTCACATTTTTTTTTTCATTAGCGTGCGTTGAATTTATTTTTAAATCACCTCAACTGGCATAACTATAAAAAGATTTCAAGTAATTATTTTTTTTGACACTTCTGTTACGAAAATGTATCCACTTTCTCTCAGAATCTAAACGAAAATGATATTTGACATAGATCTGTATAATATGTTTTAGCAATGTGTGTATTTAATATTTTCTTCACGTTATTCGAATGTGTAAAAACAGTGGCAACTTTAAAATAAATTTATGTCGTTATATAAACAAACCCTACTCTAATACTTACAATAAGTCAATGCGATGCAATGTAAAAGCACTGCATGGTGCGATGTTAACTTTTATGGTTCCAAAATCTATAGAGATGACGGACTGACACACTACCAGCAGCGTTATATTATAGATTTCAAATAGAGTAATAAAATTTTAATTAAGTAAATGCGTATTTCAAAACTCTACACATATTGCAGATTTTCCAGATCTCTTAACTTTACCAATATAATATACATATATTATACAAACTTGTAAACAATGGACCAATTTTACAGAGCTCTGTCAACATTTTTTAAGGAAAAAAATGTTATTTTCTGAGCTGTTTTAGGCTGAAGTGTGACGTCATTTTTGGATTAAGGGGGGGGGGGGTCTATGTGTATGTGAGGTGTGTAGAGGGGGGGGGGGTATAAAAAAACTGTCCCAAATAGCATGACGTCATTTATAGATAACCTTTTAAAACTCTACCAACAAGTTATCCTATAAGACTATAAGAAAAATGAATGAACGTGGCAGGTAATATTGTATGGTCAGTGTCTTCTGGGGCCGCTTAGTTGTTTGTTTATGTGTGTTTTATGTTGAGTGTTTCTAGCATCTCTGTCATCTCGAATGTTTGTGGCATCTCTGTCATCTCGAATGTTTGTGGCATCTCGAGTGTTTGTGTCATCTCGAGTGTTTGTGTCATCTTGTGTGTTTGTGACATCTCTGTCATCTTGTGTGTTTGTGACATCTCTGTCATCTTGTGTGTTTGTGACATCTCTTTCATCTTGTGTGTTTGTGACATTGCTGTGGACATCCTTACAGAAACAAAATGGGCGTCTGGCAGCCTGCGTTTCACAGTTGGCCTGACCGGCGTAGAACGTCAGACGCTCAACTGTGTCGCCAACACTAAGCGCCGCGCGGGTCGGCTGATGCGTCAAAACCCCGTCTAATGTCAGCTGGACTGTGTCGTCATCGCCGTCTGCTGCAATCGTCCCTTCAAACACAGCGTCCCCCGGCGAGGTCAGGATCTTGACCTTGAATAAGCGAGTTTCGACACCGCTACGGGGCAGGTGAAGTTGAACGACCTGTACAACTTCAGTCAGCTTGAACTCCAGACAGATGCTGGCGTTTCTCTTCCAGTTGATCGAGTTAAGGACGAGCTGAGCGAAGCCTAGAGCCAGACTGGAGTTTGTAGGCAGCTGCTCCATCTGTTGCTGGTTGCAGACACAGAACTCCACGGGGATCGGCACGTCATCGCACGTGCGGTTCAGCGGGATTTCCCGGAACAGACTTATGCCATGTTTTCCTGGGGTGAAGGGGCGGACACCGCTGGCCTTGAAGTAGAGCAGGTCCTGGAGAGTTGCGTGGGTGTCAAAGTGCGAGGTCAGGCGGCCAGTGTTGGTCTTCAGGTTCTGCGCCACATCCGGGTATTTGTCCAGGAACCACTGGGGGAAGGTGAAGATGGCGTAAGGTGTTCGGCTTTCTACCATCCCATTCATGCTGGCCCTGATGGCGCCCCATCTCGGCCCGTGGTCAGAGAAGGTCAGCAGCAGCGTGTTGTTCAGGTGACCTTTTTGCTGCAGGGACCTGTAGAACCTGTACATGTGCTCGTCTGCCATAATGGCGTTAGTCATGTCGTCGTGCGTCAGCTTAGTGTTAAACACTAAAGCGAAGAGCGGCCCCGTTTTGACGGTATCGAACATTTGCTCCACATAGTTCAAGTGGAAATCGATCTCTGCGCGGTTGCCAACGCACCATTTGTTGTGTGAGCTCATCTCCTTGTCCATGTCCATGGCTAAACTTATCACGTGACTGTAGTAGGTGGTGGGCGGGGCCATGAAGCCTTTCTTCAAGTAATGGAAAGCACCGACCGACGGCCAGTCCTCTGTGTACATTGTCCGGTACCCGGCACTCTCAAACTCCTGCCAGAGAATGTCCATGACGTCAGCGTGGTCAGTATCCTGCCACCACGACCGAACTTCCTGCTCGAGTTTGCCTGTGAGCAACGGCAGGAAGTTGGGGAAAGTGTTGACTCCCAACTGCGTGTACATACTCATGTCAAAGGACGTCATCTCGTCCATTAAGAACGAGCGCGTCCTGTTCATGCTCCTGAGGAACTGATGTCGAGAGACTCCGTCAAGCCCGACCATGATCACGTTCAGCGTTTCCTTAGGTTCAGTCTCCACTAGACGTTTTCTCTGGCGAATGGCCTCTAACTGGGCCAGTTTGCTCCAGACTGGGACGACTGTGTGGTAGCTTCTGGACAACTCGAGCCCATCTACGTCTGTACAGACAGCCAGCAGAAACTCCGTGTGCTCAGGCAACATGACGGAGGACGTGAAAGGCCTGCTCCACTCGCCCAGCGTGTAGCTGTTTTCATTGGTTTCCTGCCGAAAGATCTCTCGGTACTTACAGGACTTAAACTCTCCCTGCGTCCGAACTCTCGTCTTATTGACCACCAGCTTAAGGTCTTTGACGTAGGTCAGGTCAGGTCTGGGATGTTTACAATGAAGAGTGCCTTTATGTAGACCCGACCTCTTCATGTAAGCCCTGCTAGGGGGGGGGGATACCTCTAAATCTATCTACCCTTCTAGGCTTATCTATCTAATCTGTCCGGTCAGTGCAACTGTGGTAGAACCCACAGTGGTTAAACCTAACCTTAGTCTAAATAATAAGCTACTAAAATAAAACAAAAACTTTTACAGTTAATAAAATTTATTGCATGGAACCAAAAGTTATAAAAAAAGGAATAGATAAAACTGACACAAAACAGAACCAAACGAAACAAACTTTTTACATCAAACAAAACACCCAATTTCGGACTACGTCCTAGAAAAAGGAAAACAAATAAATTAATTACTTTACAAAGAAAAGTTATATACAAAGCATGAACCACAGGCTGGCTGGATTACATCTCCACCGCCTGCAGGTAGTCCCCACAGAATATACTTTAACAATTAACTGGAACACTGCCAGGACACTGAGCTCAAACTACTAGCTCAACACAGTTACCAGCCTAACAAAAGGCTAAGTCAAATAAAATCTATTAAAAACAAGTGTACCTTCACAGTGACTAGAACGAACCGAACACTCTCCTGGGGATCAACATAATCACCACAGGAAGCGAAAGGTCACTATAAAGATAAAAATATAACCAAACCCGACAGTCCGGAACGAACCGTGACTGTGGGTCAGGTAACCACAACTCTACTACTTAACCCAACAGCCAGGAGTAAACCGTAGCTGCGGGTCAAGTCTAAAAATACCTTTATCCCTGGCTTAACACCAGCCCAAGGGATACAATCAATAGAATACGTATACCACTTAACCCAACAGCCAGGAGTAAACCATAACTGTGGGCCAAGTATAAATAAGCAGTATCCTTGGCTTCACACAAGCCCAAGAGATACAACAAAGTAATAAAATGACCATAAAAACTCAGAATCTGAGTCCACCTGGCCTGACCACAATGGCGGTCAGAAGACAACCACAAAAAACTTATGGCCAGTAACTAAAATAAAGAGCATAGCAAAAAAATAGACATAGTAAAGAAATAAACTTATATCTAACTTACCAGGACTACGACGAACACAAACACAAAATAAATATGGCTGGATGGTGCGAATTTGCTATGCTTTTCACCCGATGACCAGAGAGACTGCCTGCTCCCTTCACCGCAGCTTTACACACAAAAGACAGAGTTGAACAAGCCGGAACCCGACTTCCACACACCTCACACGCTACACGTAAACAAATAGTCCCTAATTCACGGATAACAAACCAAACACGACGAAACATGCAACAGAATATTATAAAAAGACACTTACTATAAACAATGACAACAATATAAACGAAATATATATAAACTAGCTATAACCAGGGACATAAACAGTGAGACAGCGGCGCCATAATACGGGACTACACGACTAAAAAAATACGAACAATTTACGACATGAAACGAAACGATACATTCGCCTTCTAAGTTACAAATAATAAAAATACACTCCAGCCGCTCACATACACGCCCCCTAAAGCTTGCGGTCACCGCAAGCTAACAAACTTGAAAAAAACAGCCCACAGGGCATAATCATAAATGTTACAAAAAACTTTGCAGGAAGAACTTGCAAAAAAATCAGCCCACAGGGCATAATCATACATGTTACAAAAAACAAAACTTTGCAAAAGAACTTGCAAAAAAATCAGCCCACAGGGCACGATCATAAATTTTACAAAAAAACATTGTCAAAAAAAATCAGCCCACAGGGCACAATCACAAGTCTAGCCTACTAGGGACTCTGCGCTCCCTGACCGACCTACGCAGAGGTATGTCAGGTACTGTGGGGTTACCGGCTGCTCTGGTCCCCGGCAATTGGACCTTATAAATAATGTGGCTGTAACCTGGAGTAGCCGGCGGTATCACTTTGACCGGCCTTGGGGAGGGTGGTTGGGCTCGGGGAGGCACATATCTCCTGATCTGGGTGCTGGCCACCCGGCGGGTGCCAGAAGGGCCATCTTTCTTTTTAATGGCGTAACACCCGCCGGTGATCGGAGGTACTTCGACCACGACGTAAACTGTCGGGCCGTACAGATCCGCCATTTTGTGCCTGCCCAGGGGGTGCTGCCTTAACAGGACCAGGTCGCCTATGGCCAGTTCAGCGGCTGGCCTGTTATTGGCCTGTCTGTCCCTCTTGGTGGCCTCTATTTGCAGCCTCTCCTGGGCTAGTTTGTGCAGGCTGGCCAGTCGTGTTAGGTGGCCCTGGAGGTAATCTCCAGCACCACCACTGTTTGCTGGAGGGGCTTGGTTTAAAAATAGGTCCAAGGGGACGGCTGCCTCCCGCCCAAACAACAGCTGGAACGGGGAGAAACCTGTTGACGAGTGCGGGGTTGTATTGTACAGGAAGACCAGCTCGGTCAGGTACCGAGGCCAGTCCTTCTTCTTGTCAACAGGTAGGGTCCGAAGCAGATCGTGTAGGGTCCGGTTGAACCTCTCTGCTTGGCCGTTTCCTTGGGGGTGGTATGCCGTTGTTCGGGACCTCTGTATCCCATAATGGTCGCACAGTTCGTGTATTACGGCTGCCCCAAAGCATTTGCCCTGGTCCGAGTGTAGTCGCCTGGGGACACCGTAGTGAACTATCCAGTTCTGCACCAGGGCCTTCGCCACGGTTTTGGCAGTCTGGTCCTTCGTCGGAACAGCAACTGTCCACTTGGTGAAAACATCGGTGAGAATCAATACATCCTCCGTACCGTCTGCCGCTTTGTCCATCAGGGTGAAGTCGACTGCCACAACCTCTAGGGGCATGGTGGCCAAAAGATGACCTTTAGGCTGGTGCACCTTCAGACTGGTCATTTTCGCGTGCTGGCAGCGGTCACATGCCTGGCAGTACTGGCGTATATCTGCCTCCATCCCCGGCCAGTAGCATCGTTGCCGTAACAGCTGCAGGCAGCGGTCTGGTCCTTGGTGGCCGTTGTCGTTGTGACTTAGACGGAGTACCTCTGGTCGTAGTTGATTGGGGATAACGCATTGTGCGATTTCCCCTTGACCTGGCAGTTTCACTGTGCGCTGTAGGATACCGTCCTTTAACCTGAGTCTCGACTTTTGTCTCAGGAGAATCTGGGCTGGGAGTGATAAAGTCGAGGAATGTAATCTGTGGCCGGGCGTCAGGAAGGGTAGGATCTCCTGGATGGTTGAGTCTACCTGTTGGGCATTCTTCACATCGGCCGGTAAGGCCGAAGACAAGAAATTGCAGTGGGCCTCCAGAGGGACAGGTTGAGGTGTTGATATTGCCACCTCTGGTGGGACCCGTGTGGTGACCTGGTACACTCCGGAGTACTGGACTTCTGGATCTCTGGCTGCAGGCTTGTCCACAGGAAACCTGGACAGGGCATCCGCATTGGCATTGGATTTGCCGGACCTGTATTTTACTTCGAAGTCGAAGACATCTAGGTCAGCAATCCAGCGGTGCTCAGTTGCACCAGTCTTAGATGATTTAATGTAGCTAAGCGGATTGTTGTCTGTCAGTACCAATGTCTTGCTGCCCAGCAAATACCCTCTGAATTTTTCGGCCATGGCCCACTTCAAAGCCAAAAGTTCTAACTTGAGGGCACTATAGTTTTTCATGTTTTTTTCATTTACTCGGAGTGACCGGCTGGCGAAGGCTATTACCTTCACCCCATCCGCTTGTTTCTGGCTTAGGACTGCACCCAAACCGTAGCTGCTGGCATCTGTCTCTAGAATAAAGGGTAGGGTAAAGTCAGGGTAACCCAGAACAGGCGTGGTGGTCAAGGCCGTCTTAAGCCGGTTAAAGGCTGACTGTTGTTCTGGGCCCCACAGGTTGGTTATGTCCTGCCGTTTGTTTCGCTTGCCGAATTGTTCATGAGTATTGGTGACCACTTGGTGGAGGGGCTGTGCTATGTTGGCAAAACCTTTAACAAATCTTCGGTAGTAGCTGGCAAGGCCCAAGAAAGAACGGAGTTCTTTTAGGGTCTTAGGGGGCTGCCACTCGCTGATGGCTGTAATTTTCCCTGGGTCAGTCTTCACACCATCCTTGGACACCACATGTCCCAGGTAGTGCACGCTCTCCGCCCCAAACACACATTTCTCAGGGTTAAGTTTGAGACCGATATCCCTCAGTCGTGCGAGTATTGTGCGCAGGTTGGCCAGGTGTGAGGTGAAGTCTGGGGCATATATCAGGATGTCATCCAGATAGGCCAGCATGATTCTCATGATGTGCTCACTCATTACCCCCTGCATTAATCTGGAAAAAGTCTGGACGGCGCCACATAGGCCAAATGGCATTCTGGTCCACTGGTACAGACCAAAGGGAGTAACGAAGGCAGTCTTTTCTTGGTCTTCTTCAGCCATGGCAACCTGGTGGTAGCCACTGGCTAAGTCCAGCGTGGAGAAGAAGGTTGACCCCGCCAGGGCATCCAACGTTTCATCGATTCGGGGCAGCGGGAACGCATCCTTCCGGGTTATGCCATTCAGCCTCCTGTAATCGCAGCATAACCGGATCTCGCCATTCTTTTTCTTCACGATGACCATTGGAGCTGCATAAGGGCTGGTGCTGGGTTGGATAATGCCCCTGGTAGTCAACCTTTCAATGTGTTCTTTAACCGCAGCGAACTCTGTAGGCGGAAGCCGGCGGTAGGGTAACGCTACTGGTATGTCACTGGTTAGTGGGATGCTGTGTTTAATTTTGTCCGTGAAACCCAACTGGTCGTCTGTCCAAGCAAAAACGTCTGTGAATTCCTGGAGTAATTTCTCCAGAGCCGCCCGCTGTGGTGGGTCTAGGGTTTCTGCCATCATGCTGGAAAACGAGGGCTCTGGCATGGAATCGTGGGTCTCGCTGGACAGGGATGAGTCTATGACCACCTCAGCAGCCAGAGAGTTGACCCTGAACTGCAGGTTTGGGGGGACCAGCTCGAACGGGTGGATTGTTGCCAGACAGGTCCTACTGGAGATGTAGACGGGCTCCTCAGACAGGTTAGCCACCTGTACCGAGAAGAATCCCTCACGGCAGGAAGTTAGGCCTGGCACCACGAG